TGTCGAACCTGTCAGACTGTCGTGCCAAGTCTATTGCCTAAAGTACACAGAAACTAAAGTTGTTTACTAGTGATAATGGAATTTTCAAAATATGGCATCATGTTGTTGCAGCAGGTCCAACACTTTCAAAGAGTACCAAAAGTATAGGAGCAGCCGTAAAAAGCATATAAGTGTATTGTTAACCCTACGAACTTTTGGGTTGAATACCACTTATGGTCATCATCTGTGTTGACCCTTTATGAGCACTCTATAGTAACCCAAGCCTAACTATGTTGTCGTGCCTAACAAGTCTGTTGTGTACTTTACTAGATTGAAGTAGTGGATGCCTATTTGTTGTTGTATCTGGTAAGGTAGTGAACCTGTCGAACCTGTCAGACTGTCGTACCTTAAAGTACACAGAAACTAAAGTTGTTTACTAGTGAGAATAAAATATGGCATCATGTTGTTGCAGCAGGTCCAACACTTTCAAAGAGTACCTAAAAGTATAGGAGCAGCCGTTAAAAGCATATAAGTGTATTGTTAACACTACGAACTTTTGGGTTGAATACTCTTCTCTCTTCCCAGAAATGGTCATCATCTGTGTTGACCCTTTATGAGCACTCTATAGTAACCCAAGCCTAACTATGCTGTCGTGCCTAACAAGTCTGTTGTACTTTACTAGATTGAAGTAATGGATGCCTACTTCTTGTTGTATCTGGTAAGGTAGTGAACCTACTCAAATGGTCTTGTAGAAGGGTAATTAACCCTCGGCGCGCATGCGCAGCGAGGGTTACAGTACTTGGGTCTGTCTGTCTGTCCTTCTGTGTGTCTGTTACTCGACATCTCACTTCCCCAATGTTTTTTCGTCTCACAAACGATACTACCTACTCAACTGGCAACGAAGGTCAGAAAATTTGTGGGGTTTTCTCTGAAAATGCTCCGTTGCAAAGCTAGAGCGCGAAAAAGCCAATATGCAAATACTTAGCTACTACGGCATGATCGATCCGCGTGCTCAGCGTACCTCGGAGGCACCAGAAGGTGCAACGCAGGGCGTGTATCGCCTCTCGCATGCTATCTAGTAGTGTAGTTAGCCCGCGTCAGACTCTGCGCGAGCTGGCAAGAGACCACGAGTAACAGCTAAAACTAAACCCAGCCCATCAATTAGTGGTACGGCGCATGCGTTTACTTACGCGTGCGCGTCACAGTGCGCCGAGGGTTTGCACTTCAGTGCTTTTCATTATTTAAAATGGTCATTCACAACCCAATTTTTACGAAAAATGTTAGATTGACTATCTTCTTTATGTGGTTTGCGAGATTAAAGTTTACGTGCAGTATATAATTTGAACTTGAATAGTATCATACAATCCGTCCCACATTTTCAAGTACTTTGATAGGAGTGTTTATTCGCTTTTTGTACTTTCATTCTTGTGATCCTCGTTTGTGGTGTACTTGTGGTATACTTCCTCCACTAAATCTTGAGATCTTGTGATTTCATCTCTCTCTCTGTGGAATGGAAATGCTCCCTGGAGTCCACTAGCTGGTACTGCCACAAGATAGTAGCCAATCATATATGAAGTAGTGCTTTCTATCTGTAAGCAATCTACAGATAGTGAAATTCCAACACCAGTAATATGAAGAAGCCACAGTGCTCTTAATAACAAACGGATGAATTTGTAACGACCAATAACAACCTCAGCAAGTAGACTAGCTATTGGACACGAGATGGCACAAACAGCTAGGTATGTGGAAGAATTGAATTCCGCCAACCATGGAGATGTGATTTTAGACTCCCTGGTTTCAAGGGACACGTTGAGAATGAAAGAATTAACAACACATTTCTAGAGCCAATGCTGCGAAACGGCCACTTTTTCCTTGGTCTGCCAGTCAGATAAATGCCATATTAGATTACTGGTGCCGACTGGGTGACTATGCTGTAGGCCTCACATGTTGAAATTAGAGCTGCACCCTTTCCGCCAACACTCGCTGCCATTGTCCAAGCCTCTCTACCAGCTATACCACAAATCTTGTGATGTTAGGACTGTTGAGATTGCGAAATAACTAGCAAAACTCTCCTGAATGTCTTGACATCCTCCACTTGCTTTGTGGTGAAAGGTCCACCATATTTTGACTTGCCATAGTCCAGTCTTGTTGGCCGTTCATTTTCACAGTATGTGAAGGCACTTCTCTGAACTGGATACTTGTGCTTTGCTGCATATTTCAAGACTTTGAAAATATGACTCACTGGATTGACAGTCACTGGCTCTTTCACCAGTTTGTGGTGGAAATGAAAGTCCAAAATGAGTCCCACAGAGAGCAGTAGGACTGGCAGCAGTGACATTATTGTGCTGGCTTTACTTGCCTGAAAATTGGTGTATAACACCGATGCTACTATAAGGGAAATAGTTACGCCACTAGAATATGCCCAGCAAAACCATAGTATGAATGAAGAAATGTTTGTGTGTGTTCCAGTAGTGATCTGATCAAGTCCTAGTGGAACTGCACATGCTATAAACGCTCCCTGCAGCATAAATTGTGGTACTGCAAGAGCCACCTTGAGAATGTTTAGCGCAGTTTTTGCCGCAGGTACAATACCTTCACATACGGAGATGGCAGAAGTTTCAATGTAGAGCAGCCACATTATCTTAATGGAGATGCTGACAAGTTTGTATCGACCAAAAACCACTTCAGCTAGAAGACTCACGATTGGAGTTATGATACAAATCAGGGTTGAACCGCCTACGAAACCTGTGGGCTGTTTCGTAGGCGGTTCAACCCTGATTTGTATCATAACACCAATCGTGAGTCTTCTAGCTGAAGTGGTTTTTGGTCGATACAAACTTGTCAGCATCTCCATTAAGATAATGTGGCTGCTCTACATTGAAACTTCTGCCATCTCCGTATGTGAAGGTATTGTACCTGCGGCAAAAACTGCGCTAAACATTCTCAAGGTGGCTCTTGCAGTACCACAATTTATGCTGCAGGGAGCGTTTATAGCATGTGCAGTTCCACTAGGACTTGATCAGATCACTACTGGAACACACACAAACATTTCTTCATTCATACCTGTTCCCACTGGGCCTTCTCTTCTTGAGTATTCTCCAAACTAAGCAACGAGCTTAGTGAGCACTAAACGATGAACACCCAGGTCAGAATGAGTAAAATGCTACTGGAACCAATGTTACGAAATGTCCACTTTCTCCTCCGTCTGTCAGTGTGTCTGACTCCACATCTGTTGGCTGACTCTGTATTGCTGGTGCCATCAGAACATGATTGTATCAGAGTGACTCCCTTCTCAGCCTCGCACCTTGTTGCCATTGCTCACTGTCTTCTGCAAAAAAAAACTTGCTTGTTACAATCCACTCTGTTGTATTGTTGGTGTCTCTTGACATTTATTTTCTTTTTCAAAGCAGTTTTCGTCTTCAAAAGTGTTATGATGCACAGTCTATTGAAACCCAAGTCTAAAAAAGCCTGTCAATAGAGCATGTACACACCAATGTAAGGTACACATACCAAGAGACATAGCATTTGGTGATGCTCCTCATAATAGTGGAGTACTATTGGTTGGTGTAGGTGTGTGGCTATAATTGGCGAGCGAAGCCTACCTAGTCGTTTCAATGCAAGAATTTGATGGCTCTGTCTGATAGGTGATACCTGGCAGAGTTCCTACCCTTACACATTGATACAGAATCAACCTCTTCGTCCTGTACAGCATTTTGTGGAGCGCGAAACCTTGAAACCTTGTGAGCACCGAATGATGAATGCCCAGGACAGGATTAGTAGGAGACTACTTGAGCCAATGCTACGAAATTTACACTTTCTGCACCATCTACTAGTAGGTTTGACTTTGAACTCTTGTAGCTCTGGAGGATTCCTTTCAACACCAGCACATGACTCTCTCTATGAAGTGATACTTCCTTCACAACTGTACCTCGTTGCCATTGCTTTAAATAGCTATAGTTCACAGGTCACCTGGTATAATAGCTCCCTTTGGTATGTCAGTTTTCTTGAGCCTGAATTAGCTGTTGTTTGCTCCAACTGTCAATGATGAGATTTTATGCTCCAGGCTATAAACAATAATCCTTTGATAATGGTTCCCAAAAGTTGCACGTCATAATGCATGCTTGTGATAGTCAATCAGTCGACATTGTATTGTCTTGTTCTGGTTATCTTTACTGCTGTTGGTGATGTGGCTAATCTTTATGTTCTCTGACTTTAATGATGTCCCTGAAGCACTCTGCTTATGTACTGAAGGTATACTATCACACACTTTATATATGCAGTACAGTTTCTTAATTATACATTATGTAGTGCAGTGCAATTGGTTTATGATTGTTAGTCTTGTGATGCTTGTTCCTGGTACTTGTGGTATACTTCCTCCACTAAATCTTGAGATCTTGTGATTTCATCTCTCTCTCTTGCCTTGTACCAGCGAATGACCAAGCCCAGTAGAGCAGATGACACCACTGCCAATACTAGTGTGCTCAGGTAGAACCAGATACCACATGTACTGGTGTGGAGTATGTCAAACCAATTGTTTTTCCACACCTCATACAATACTGCTCCGAGAGTGAAAAATAAAGTTTCAAAATTGATGAAAAGTTCTATTAGTAGACCTTTCATATTGTATGGTGCCTGAGCACATACGAATTCAAGGCTGGATTTGTATAGCACCAGTGCTGTGAAACCCAGTATATGGTTGAAGGGAATGACAGATATTTTACTTTCATTTGTCTGTGTAAACATACATTCAGTTGTGGCATCAGTGAAAGTTTCTATGGCTGTGTATGCAATACCGTACAATGATGAAGCAATGAGTGCTGCAGCTCCAATTCCAGCAGACTGGAGGATGCTAGGACCTCGGTTTCTCAGACATGGGTAGATGAGTAGCTCATACAGTGGAATGTAGTACACGATTGTGACACTAGGTGCAAAGGCAGCTTTTGACACTGCTTGAATACAGTTTGATTTCGACAGGTTCATCTCAATATTTGATCCTGATTCTAACTGTTGCATGAATGGTAAAGCAAATGTTGAGAGCACGATAATGACCACCACAACTCTCCAGAAGGTCTTAACATCCTCCACTTGCTCTGTGGTGAAAGGTCCACCATATTTTGACTTGCCATAGTCCAGTCTTGTTGGCCGTTCATTTTCACAGTATGTGAAGGCACTTCTCTGAACTGGATACTTGTGCTTTGCTGCATATTTCAAGACTTTGAAAATATGACTCACTGGATTGACAGTCACTGGCTCTTTCACCAGTTTGTGGTGGAAATGAAAGTCCAAAATGAGTCCCACAGAGAGCAGTAGGACTGGCAGCAGAGATAATATCATGCTGACTTCGCTTGCTTGCAAATGAGTGCAATCATACAAGACCGATCCTACGATAGAGGAAGTAGCTAGTCCACTACAAAATACCCAGGCTAACCAATGTATGAAGGCAGAAATGTTGGCAGATGTTCCACCAGTAATCTGGTCCATTCCCAGTGGAACTGCACTGGCCACAAATGCCCCAAAAAGCCAAAAAGTTGGTATCAATACGATTAGCAGTTGTATTGCAAATAGTGTTGGTTTTGCCACAGGCAGTTTGTCCTCACATATTGAGATAAGCGAAGCTATTACAGAAAATAACCATAGCGTCTTTAAAGAGTAACTTATGAGTTTGTATCGACCAATAACCACCTGTGCTAAGAGACTTACTACAGGGAGTAAGATGGTGGATAAAACTGCAATGCTAATCAGATATTTCTCCTGCATCAACCACAACGATATAGAATCAAACTTGCTTTGTTTGCTCGAGCCAAAATACTTTATTCTGTAGAGCGGTAAGCTTAATGAGCAGGAAATGGCGTATTCCCAGATCAGGATGAGTAAGATGCTCCTGGAGCCTATGCCACGATGTCGCCACTTTCTCCCTGACCTGCCCTTGTGTCTGACATTGAGTGAAGTCCGGCGGAGTTTTGCTGCTGATTTTGTCCGGTTGTTGTAGACACCAGAGCAGGACTGTCTTAGGGTGACAGTTTCCTCGGCACTGTTCCTACTGGTTTCCATTGCACAGCCACTTGTCACCAAGCAGGGTATGGCATAGCTTCCCTTTTCTACTTGTATCAGTTGCTTTGACTGACCTAACTTTCAGTATTCTATTGAGATTGAGATTGGGTGTCTGTTCACATCGAAATTGAACACTTTTTACAACAAAGCTTGCTTTGTCTTATGAAAAAAACATTCACTTTTAGTGAGGAATGCATGATGGTGCACCTACTATAGCTACAACAACACAAACGCCAGGACAGCTACATGGTTGCACATGAGCGGAAGTGTCATGCAGGTATATGTTGGGTCATGCAAAATGCTGCATGCAGTGGTGCATCTTATTTTCCAACGAAATCATTGCACCAACTCTGGAGAAGTGATATTAGACTCCCTTGTTTCAAGGACATGTTGAGAACAATTTACGATGAAAGACCAGGTCAGAATTAATAACACATTTCTAGAGCCAATGCTGCGAAACGGCCACTTTTTCCTTGGTCTGCCAGTCAGATAAATGCCATATTGGATTACTGGTGCTGACTGGGTGACTATGCTGTCAGCCTCACATGTTGAAATTAGAGCTGCACCCTTTCCGCCAACACTCGCTGCCATTGTCCAAGCCTCTCTATGGGGGACAAACCAGCTATACCACAAATCTTCTTCGTTCAAGCAAGCTACTAGTTATATCTGCTCCTATACTTTCTTACTTTCTGTCTTTTAGGCTCAGAAGTATATACAGTCGCTTCACACGATGAGTGTAGGCTGGTGTAATCCTTTGGGAGTTGTAATATCTTTCATATATATTTGACAAGCACATGTTTATTTTGTCACTCATATTTTATTGGATGTGTATACTTGTGTATAAGCTTATGCTTTTCTAAAGTACATGGCTCTTTTAAAGAACACTTTTCAGATGTTGTTTTCAAGAGCAATACCCATTGTAAACTGTTTTTCCCAGTGCTCTTGACTAAGGTATATGGTACTCTTCCCAAGTTTATGTTTTGATACATTCTGATGGCAACAACTGCTATAGCAATGGGTGCCCACGTAAACAAGCACTGCTGGGAACTCAAGTGAGAAGCACAAGAAAAAAATGTACAAAAAGCTTGTCTCAAACCACACTTTTGAAAATGCTACGAACTCTGCCAAATGTATCTGTGCGTTTGTTGTGCACGTGTGAAGTTGATAGTACGTAAGGAAATCTACGATTTAGAAGTCTGTGCATTGACCAAATCATTGTTCAATTTGTATCACTACGCTCTTACATGCTACAGGTGTTACACTTCCTCCTGGATGGATACATTTTGTTGTTGGTACTTGTGGTACACTTCTTCTACTAATGTTTGTGATCGTAGAGTTTCATCTCTCTCTCTTGCCTTGTACCATCGTATGACCAAGCCCAGTAGAGCAGATGACACCACTGCCAATACTAGTGTGCTCAGGTAGAACCAGATACCACATGTACTGGTGTGGAGTATGGCAAACTGGGGGTTGCTCCATTCTCTATAAAGCACGTTTCCAAAAGTGATAAAAAGTGTTTGTAGTGTGAAGAAGAGTCCCATAAGAAAACCATTCATGTTGTATGGTGCTTGTGCGCATATAAATTCAAGGCTTGTTTTATTGAACACTATTACTGTGAACCCCAGAATGAAGTGGAAAGGAATACCAACAATCAAGTTTAGAAATTTACCTTCATGGGGTTGTTTTTGGTCAAACATGCACTCAGTTGTGCTATTAGTGAGTGATTGTTGCACTGTCTCTACCACACAACCATACATGGTCAAAAACACAACTGCTGCTGCACCAATTCCAGCAGACTCGAATATGCTGGGACCTCGGTTTCTCAGACATGGGTAGATGAGTAGCTCGTACAGTGGAACGAAGTACATAATGGTGGAATAAGGATTAATGATGTCGTGTGACGCTGCCTCATTGCAGTACGTTTCAGTTGTAAGGGATCCAAAGCTATCCTCCATGACGAAGGCTGATTGAAGCACAAGCATTTGTGATGTTAGGACTGTTGAGATTGCGAAAATAACTAGCAAAACTCTCCAGAAGGTCTTGACATCCTCCACTTGCTCTGTGGTGAAAGGTCCACCATATTTTGACTTGCCATAGTCCAGTCTTGTTGGCCGCTCATTTTCACAGTATGTGAAGGCACTTCTCTGAACTGGATACTTGTGCTTTGCTGCATATTTCAAGACTTTGAAAATATGACTCACTGGATTGACAGTCACTGGCTCTTTCACCAGTTTGTGGTGGAAATGAAAGTCCAAAATGAGTCCCACAGAGAGCAGTAGGACTGACAGCAGTGATAGTATCATTTGGACTTGATTTGCTTGCAAATTCGTACAATTATACGAGAGGGATCCTACAATTAGTGGAATTGCCGCCCCACTGAAATAAGCCCAGCCAAGCCATTGCAAGAAGGCAGAAATGTTTGAGTCTAATCCACCGTTAATCTGGTCCATTCCCAGTTGAACGGCACTTGCTAAAAATGCTCCCTGTAGCACATATTGCGGTAATACCAAAATTAGTAGCTGTGTGGTGTACAGTGTCGATTTTGCCACAGGTAGGCTCTCTAGGCATACTGAGATGATACAACTGACAATGCAGAGTGGCCACGTTAGCTTAAGGGAGTAGCTGACAAGTTTGTATCGACCGATGACAACCTCTGCTAGGAGACTTGCAATGGGACATGAGATAGAAAGTGTTGAAATACCGAGCAGAGTTTCTCCTCTTACCGTCCACAGTGATACTGCATCAACCTCTTGCTCTTTCTCTAGACTCGAATGAAAGTACAGCATTTTGTGGAGCGTGAAACCTAGTGAGCACCGAATGATGAATGCCCAGGACAGGATTAGTAGGAGACTACTTGAGCCAATGCTACGAAATTTACACTTTCTGCACCATCTACTAGTAGGTTTGACTTTGAACTCTTGTAGCTCTGGAGGATTCCTTTCAACACCAGCACATGACTCTCTCAATGAAGTGATACTTCCTTCACAACTGTACCTGGTTGCCATTGCTTTAAATAGCTATAGTTCACAGGGTCACCTGGTATAATAGCTCCCTTTGGTAATGGCGTTTGTGTCAGCTTCTTGGACTTGAATTAGTTGTTGTTTGTCGAGGATAAGCTCTTCTGATGCAGGCTATCAGCATAATCCCTTGATAATATGTATGTACGTTCCCAAAAGTTGCATGCCATAATGCATGCTTGTGATAGTCAATCAGTCAACATTGTATTGTATATGATCCTTGTTCTGGTTTTCTTATGTTGGTGATGTAGCTAATCTTTATGTTCTCTGACTTTAATGAAGTCCCTAAAGCACTCTGTATATGTACTGAAGGTTTTTATCACACACTATAATTATATATACAGTACAGTTTCTTAAGAACAGATACATTATACATTAAGTAGTGCAGTGCAAAGTTCACTAATTGGTTTATGATTGTTAGTCTTGTGATGCTTGTTCGTGGTACTTGTGGTATACTTCCTCCACTAAATCTTGAGATCTTGTGATTTCATCTCTCTCTCTTGCCTTGTACCATCGTATGACCAAGCCCAATAGAGCATATGACACCACTGCCAATACTAGTGTGCTCAGGTAGAACCAGATACCACATGTACTGGTGTTGAGTATGGCAAACCAAGGGTTCCTCCATGCCAAATATAGGAGTGTTCCAAGGGCTATGAAGAAAATTAGTAATGTGTAGAAAAGCCCTATCAAAAGTCCTTTCATGTTGTATGGTGCTTGTGCACAAATAAACTCCATGCTAGATTTTGGCAGAACTATGGCTGTGAATCCCAGAATAAAGTTATAAGGAGTTCCAATTATTTCTCCTATATTTGTTCCATTATAGTTGCTTTTTGCAAACATGCACTCAGTATTGCCTTTAGTAAGAATTTGCGGAATTGCCTCTGTCACCACACCATACAATGAAGAAGCAATGAGTGCTGCAGCTCCAATTCCAGCAGACTGGAGGATGCTGGGACCTCGGTTTCTCAGACATGGGTAGATGAGTAGCTCATACAGTGGTATTGAGATCATGATTGTAAAAGACACTGTGAAGATATTAGATGTCACTGTTTGTAAGCAAATATTTTCAGTAGATCGCAATAAGCCAAAGCTTATCTCCATGTATGCTGCTGATTCAATCTGTGCTACAAGTTGCAGACCAGATATTCCAATGACCACAATGACTACTAGGACTCTCCAGAAAGTCTTAACATCCTCCACCTGCTCTGTTGTGAAAGGTCCACCATATTTTGACTTGCCATAGTCCAGTCTTGTTGGCCGTTCATTTTCACAGTATGTGAAGGCACTTCTCTGAACTGGATACTTGTGCTTTGCTGCATATTTCAAGACTTTGAAAATAAGACTCACTGGATTGACAGTCACTGGCTCTTTCACCAGTTTGTGGTGGAAATGAAAGTCCAAAATGAGTCCCACAGAGAGCAGTAGGACTGGCAGCAGTGACATTATCATTCGGACTTCACTTTCCATCAAATGTGTACAATTGTACAAAACTGATCCTGTGATACCTGGGATTGCAAACCCACAAAATGATGCCCAGCCAAGCCATGTTACGAAGGCAGAAATGTTTGTGTTAGATCCGCTAGTAACCTGGTCTATTCCTAGTGGAATCGCACTTGTTATAAATGCTCCAAGAAGCATGTACTGTGGCACTACGAGGAATAGCTTTGTAATATTATATGCCCCAGGCTTTACGGTCTCTCCACATATTGTGATAACAGAACCAACAATGGAGATGAACCACATTGCTTTTAGAGAGTAGCTGACAAGTTTGTATCGACCCATAGCCACTTCTGCTAAGAGACTTGCTATTGGAATGGTGATACAAGAAAGGCTTGAAAAACCTATGAGATTAGCGTCTACTACCCACCGAGGAACTGCTCTTTCCTCTTCAACTGCATCGAAGAAGTTAAAGGTGTGTAGTGTGAAGTTTATTGAACACGAGATGATGAATCCCCAGGTTAGGATGAGTAAGAGGCTACTGGAACCAATACCACGTAATCTCCACTTTCTCCTCCGTCTGTCAGTGCGTCTGCCTCCATGCCTATTGCTGTCGTCCTGGATTCCTGGAGCTGATTCTGTTAGTTTGTTAATGTCGTCAGAACACGGTTTGATCAGAGTGATTCCTTCTCCCACTCTCGCACTGGTTGCCATTTTCCTACTATATGGGCATTCAAACAAATAGTTTTCTGAATTCTTATATAGGATGCACTTCTACTCTAGTCTTGTGAAACCTTCACCTTCTGTTGGCTGAAAGTCTTGCTGAAGCACTTAGCTCACTCTCTTAGTCTTGAAAGAGTTTATTTTGATGGACTCTGTTTTACTTTCAACCACACAGTGTGATTATAAGTTTAGTGTTTTGCTTAAAGTATGCAGAAACTAAAGGTGTTTACTAGTGAGAATGCAATTTTCAAAATATGGCATCACGTTATTGCAACAGGTCCAACACTTTCAAAAAGTACCTGGAGCGGTCGTTAAAAGCACATATGTGTGTTGTTAACACTATGATCTTTTGGGTTGAATACTCTTCTGCATTAACTCTTCCCAGAAATGGTCATCATCTGTGTTCACCCTTTATGAAGTAACCCAAGCCTAACTATGTTGTCGTGCCTAACAAGTCTGTTGTACTTTACTAGATTGAAGTAGTGGATGCCTATTTGTTGTTGTATCTGGTAATGTAGTGAACCTGTCGAACCTGTCAGACTGTCGTGTCAAGTCTCTTGTACTTTTCTAGGTACAGGTAGTGGATGCCTACTTGTTGTCACCCTCGGCGCGCTGGGAGTTTAAGTGTTTTATCCCCATTATATCATTAAAAATGTCATTGGGAGTCAATTCCAACCTATAAAGAACTCTATTACATCGTGACGGAGTTATTGACATGTAATGACTTGTGAGTGTTTTGGAAAAAAATGTTTTGCTTACTGTTGGTGTTTCACTTTCGTGGTGTTTGTTCCTGGTACTTGTCGTACACTTCCTCCACTAAATCTTGAGATCTTGTGATTTCATCTCTCTCTCTTGCCTTGTACCATCGTATGACCAAGCCCAGTAGAGCAGATGACACCACTGCCAATACTAGTGTGCACAGGTAGAACAAGATACCACATGTACTGGTGTGGAGTATGGCAAACTTCTTCCATGTCTCGTACCAGACTGTTCCAAGGGTAATGAAAACAGTTTGTAGTGCAAAAAAGAATCCAATAAGAAGACCAGTCATATTGTATGGTGCCTGAGCACATAAAAATTCAAGGCTCGATTTATTGAGAACTACAGATGTAAATCCAAGAGCAAAGGTGAAAGGAATGCCAATTAAAAAGTTAAGTTTGCTTTCATCATGATCAACTTCCTCAAACATACATTCAGTTGTATTGTTGGTGAACGTTTGTCGCATTGTCTCTGCCACACAGCCGTACACTGAGGCAAATACGAGTGCTGCAGCTCCAATTCCAGCAGACTGGCGGATGCTGGGTCCTCGGTTTCTCAGACATGGGTAGATGAGTAGCTCATACAGTGGAATAGAATACACGTTTGTAAAACTAGGACTGATGATGTCATACGAGGAAGCCTGAATGCACCGGTTTTTTGTTCTAAGTGACCCAAAGTCATCTGACATGACTGATGATGATCGAACCACAGCCATTAGTGGTAGATGTAGAGTTGAGAGTACCAGTATGACAACCAGAACTCTCCAGAAAGTCTTAACATCCTCCACTTGCTCTGTGGTGAAAGGTCCACCATATTTCGACTTGCCATAGTCCAGTCTTGTTGGCCGTTCATTTTCACAGTATGTGAAGGCACTTCTCTGAACTGGATACTTGTGCTTTGCTGCATATTTCAAGACTTTGAAAATATGACTCACTGGATTGACAGTCACTGGCTCTTTCACCAGTTTGTGGTGGAAATGAAAGTCCAGAATGAGTCCCACAGAGAGCAGTAGGACCGGCAGCAGTGACATTATCATGCTGGCTTTACTTGGTTGCAAATATGTGCAGTCATAGAGTAAGGATCCTACAATTCTAGGAGCAGCTAGCCCACTAAAGAAAGCCCAGTTAAACCATAGTATGAAGGCAGAAATGTTAGTATTTGATCCTCCAGTAATCTGGTCTAATGCTAGTGGAACTGCACTGACTAAAAATGCCCCCAGAATGAAATACTGTGGGATGACCAGTACATCTAGCTGTATTTTGTACAGTGTGGTGTTATTCACAGGCAGGTTCTCTTGGCATACTGAGAGGACACAACAAATAATCGAGAGTAGCCACATAGCCTTTAGAGAATAGCTCACAAGTTTGTATCGACCGATAACCACCTCTGCTAGGAGACTTGCAATGGGACATGCGATAGAAAGTGTTGCAATACCGAGCAGAGTTTCTCCTTTTATACCATCCATAGAGAAACTGAACCATCCGCTTCTTCTCTTTTCAAGATTTGGGGTAAAATACTGCAATTTGTGCATTGTTAAGCCCAGAGAGCAGCGAACGATAAACTCCCAGGTAATGATGAGTAAGATGTTGCTTGCGCCAAAATTACGAGGTCTCCACTTTCTCCTCCATCTGTTGCCATGTCTCACTACAGATTTGCTTCTCTCCTGCACTCCTGTAGCTAATGTTCCTGTTGAAGTATTGCCGACACTGGAACAAGACTCTTTCATTAGTATGATGCTCTCTTCAACAGTTTGTCTTCTTGATATAATAGCAGCCATGGTATAGGGGAGGTTTGTAGCTGTAGATATCCTCAGACCATCCGAATCCTCTTCTTTCCTTTTGCCAGTGTTTGCTTAAAGTTATCTGTGTTTATGTCCTCGTGGCTTAAACATGTTATTACAAACTGCTTTTAGAGACGGTTATATCGTGCACTTACAGTACGGAGGTATATACATGCGCTGTTTATGTTTAGAAAATGTTGCTAGAGTGACAACTGCAGCAAACAAGTGCACGCAGCACTCTACATGTAGTAAATAGGTATTTATGTAGCTACACCATTGTATTCAAAGTCATGCTGGACTTGTCTGTCTTGTTGGGAGGTCAATTACAAAGTATATTATGCATACATACATCAAACCCTAGTCACAGATGTCTTGGGTTAACACTGTAAATTTGACACTGAATGATTTTAAGTATATTGTTTTTTATCCTGATTCATCTTGTGATTCTTGTTCGCGGTACTTGTGGTATACTTCTTCTACTAAATCTTGAGATCTTGTGATTTCATCTCTCTCTCTTGCCTTGTACCATCGTATGACCAAGCCCAGTAGAGCAGATGACACCACTGCCAATACTAGTGTGCTCAGGTAGAACCAGATACCACATGTACTGGAGTGGAGTATTGGAAACCATTTTTTGCTCCATGTAAAATACAATAGTGTTCCAATAACTATAAACAAAGTAAGGGCTGTAAAGAAAAGTCCTATGAGAAAACCCTTCATATTGTACGGTGCCTGTGCACATACAAACTCTATACCAGATTTAGGCAGCACCACAGATGTAAATCCCAAAAAGAAGTTAAAAGGAATGCCAATTATTATTTCCATTTCTCTCGAATTATTGCTGTTGTTAGTGAACATACATTGAGTTGAACCACTTGAAAGAATTTCCGGAATCACCCCTGCTACCATACCGTACAATGATGAGGCAATGAGTGCTGCAGCTCCAATTCCAGCAGACTGGAGGATGCTGGGACCTCGGTTTCTCAGACATGGGTAGATGAGTAGCTCATACAGTGGAATGAAAAGAATCGTAAAAAAACGGGTTTTGTAATACTCTGTGCAACTCCCTGTATGCAGCTTGTTTTCGACTGTAATGGGAGAAACCTTTCATCAATGACGAATGATGATTCACTCTGTGGTATAAGTGAAACTGAACACATAGGTATAACCAGAATGACAACCAGGACTCTCCAGAAGGTCTTAACATCCTCCACTTGCTCTGTGGTGAAAGGTCCACCATATTTTGACTTGCCATAGTCCAGTCTTGTTGGCCGTTCATTTTCACAGTATGTGAAGGCACTTCTCTGAACTGGATACTTGTGCTTTGCTGCATATTTCAAGACTTTGAAAATAAGACTCACTGGATTGACAGTCACTGGCTCTTTCACCAGTTTGTGGTGGAAATGAAAGTCCAAAATGAGTCCCACAGAGAGCAGTAGGACTGGCAGCAGTGACATCACCATACTGACTTCACTTGGTTGTAAACGTGAACAGTTTAAGAGAACAGATCCTAGGATGCTAGTAATAGCAAAACCACTGTAAAACCCCCAGCATAGCCATTGTATGAAAGCAGAAATGTTAGCATCTGATCCACCAGTAACCTGGTCTATTCCAAGTGGAACTGCACTCGCTAGAAAGACCCCCAGATTTGAAAACTGTAGCACTGCAATAAGGACCTGGATAACGTAGATTGTAGTTTTTCTCACAGGCAGGCTCTCTTCACATAGTGATAGAACCAGTGCAAGAATATACATACACCACATCGTCTTCAGACAGTAGCTGACAAGTTTGTATCGACCAATGGCAACCTCTCCTATAATACTTACTATTGGAAATATAAAGCAAAGAGTGACACAAATACCAACAACATATCTAGCTTGCGAAAACCACAGAGTCAGATAGGTATCATTGGGCTCGCCATAATCACCATTCATTTTTTCAAATGCGAAGCCCAGAGAACAGGTTGTGATGAATGTCCAGGTAAGGATGAGTAAGATGCCACTCGAACCAATACTGCGAAATTGCCATTTTCTCCTTCGTCTGCCTGTATAATACGGTGCTCTTGGGGCTGGTTCTGCCAGTGTATCGCTGATAACGGAATATGGATCCCTTAGAACTCTGATATTTTCAGCTCCAGCAAAGGTTGCCATTCGCAGCAGTCTGGTTTTCTATCCCAAGGGTGACTTCACTTGTGTTAGCTGTTTATAACTGGTCTCCATGAGATTGTGGAATTTGCACTTTCAAGAACCCCAGCAGAAACTCTTTTGGTATCTCTGTGTAGGATGCCCCCCTCCCCCACTAAAAAAACTGAACGTTCCATTGCGGTGGACCCAATGCTTCTCTTATAAGGAAGCAAACCCTTTGTTCCAGGGAATTATATAGGCCAGTATGAATGGTTTCTGTGGTGAAGTAACCTGTATGTATGTGTCTATGAATTAGTGCACCTGATGGCAACCAGATGCATGACCGTTTGAAACTCAGGATGGCTGAGTCTTCAGCCATGTTCTCTTGTGTTTAACTAGTGTATTTGTATCCTGACTGTGTAAATCTACGTACCAACATGCATGATTATACCCCAAACTGGAGCATTTTATGCCAAATGCTCTGCACCCACGCAGTGTGGCGTATGTGTCCCGATCTGGAGGAATGTCCAACGAACTCAACAACATCATCTCTCGCTGCACCAATGGAGTCTATGAGGGTGTGGCCATTGGAGGAGACAGGTGAGACCCTGCCTGATTACTCATTTCATTGCCCCTTGCATCATAATGCACCAGACCAAGCAGGTCAATGATAAACTGAGCTAAGCAGACCTGTCCTATGATGCACTAAACCAAGTATAGTGCGGCAAGCCAAGTGCGTCGAAGCCGGGCAACCACCTAAACCAAGCCTAGGAATTGCAAGTAGTGAAAAAGTGAAAATAACAACTTTGCCTGGATTGTTGCATGCCCACCCCCACCTCCCATAGCATGCTTTCACTATGGTTGCACTTTTAAACACCCACAAAAGCAGGTTATGTTTAGGGATGCACATACATGGGTGTGTGGGCATGTCAGAGCTTCTGCTCACAAGTTTACTGCCTGCAGCAGGATCCACCATGATTTGCTACAGTTTGCCTGTGCCAATCCAAGCAGCCTATAGCATGCAACCTGTCATGTACCAGATTTTCCCCCTTCTAACCCAGGTATCCTGGCACTACCTTCACAGACCATATTCTTCGCTATCACGATGACCCCAACGTGAAAATGATAGTAGTCTTGGGAGAGGTACGTATATAATTATAATGCTTTTACGACATTACCATAGATTTGTACCAATGTTCTAAACATCACACAAGTAGATGCACGTTCATAAAGTGGCCCTTTACTTTATGCATAATATAAATGACTTGATAGCTCTCGTGTGTTTACAAAGGTTGGTGGGATAGAGGAGTACAAGATTTGCGATGCACTCAAGTCTGGTCGACTGTTCAAACCCATCGTTGCCTGGTGCATTGGTACATGCGCCAAACTGTTCACCTCAGAGGTTCAGTTTGGCCACGCCGGAGCCTGTGCTAATGCTGAGAGAGAGACCGCCGATGCCAAGAACCAGGTACTGTATAGGCCAATCACTGTGTGCAATGGTACTCTCAGTTATAGTATGGTTATAAAGGGATGGTCATGGTTCCTAGCATCATAGATGTATATTATACTTTTCTCTTGTCAGGCACTGACTGAAGCTGGTGCATATGTCCCTGAGAGTTTTGATACACTCGGCCTGGTCATCAGGTAACTTCCGCTGCTACTTCTAGTTGATGCTAAGTAAGGCTGAGCATTACCTTCAGTTCAAGGGCTGAGCATTCATGTTAAGGCTCAATGCTTCCTCTAAGGCTAGCTGTACCCCCTAGTTTGTGTTTGTATAAATGTACGAACCCCTCATTCCTCTTTGCATATATCTACTAGCGTAACTGCATTGTAGTTTCAGTGCTAGTTACACAGATATTTGTGAGTGGATTATTTCTTTCGTAGTGTTATCCATATGTAAGAGAAGGTGTTGTCTATGTATCTCCGACCCAGTGAGGTGTACGAGCAGCTGGTGAGTGCAGGGGTGATAGTCCCTCAGCCAGAGAAGGAGCCTCCCACGGTGCCCATGGACTACAAGTGGGCACAGGAGCTGGGACTCATCCGCAAACCCTCCTCCTTCATGACCAGCATCTGCGACGAGAGGGGAGAGGAGCTGCTGTACGCTGGGATGCCCATCTCTGACGTCTTCAAGGTACCACTAGCAATTAGTGTAATGAGATGACACAGGGTATAGTAATTGGAATGGCTGTGAGAATTTAGTTTTAACTTTGCTCGTGAGAGACTTATAGACATACTCAAAATGAATTCCCTGCACTATGTTGATTAGAGACTTTTGGTATGCTGTAATTACTCTTCCAGTGAGGGTCTGTATACTGCAGCTAGAGCATTTGATGTTTTCTCCTGTTTTTCCAACAGGAAAACATTGGGATTGGAGGTGTTCTCAGTCTGTTATGGTTCCAGAGAAGGTCAAAATTGCTACTACATTCTACACACATGATGTTCATGCGTAGATAGGCAGCTCAATAAAACTTTTCGGAGGGGGGCTTACGTTGATCAGTATAGCTAAGTTTCAAGCTAATAGTATAGCTAAGCTTCATATGCTGCATGTGGGGAATGAGCTTGCAGGGTTTTGCTGCCTATGGAACATACAGTCTGACTGATTTGTATGCATGCAGACTGCCAGACTATGCGTGCAAGTTCCTGGAGATGTGTCTGATGGTGACGGCAGACCACGGACCTGCAGTCTCTGGGGCCCATAACACCATTGTCACTGCCAGGGCTGGGAAAGACCTAGTCTCCTGCCTTACCTCCGGACTCCTCACCATTGTAAGATATTACTACCAGAAAGATGCGTACCACTAATCTTGGACCTGTAATTATATGTATGTATGCAGGTGATGAGTGTAAAATGTTAGCTTTTTGCCTTCTTCGGTTCAACCTTATGCCCTTAACAAATTTCTTTCTCCAATCTGTTATGGATGTACTTTTGTTGTATTAATTTCCAATTGCATGAAGTAAGGGAGGAGCTTTCTGAGAATTGTAAGGTAGATGGTGTTTTTGCTAGGGTATGTTTTGTACCTAAGCAAGCTGTTGCTATAATTATAGTCAAGATGTATGTGAGCGTGAGTGAGGTGTCGTATTGTATGTGTAGGGGGACAGGTTTGGAGGTGCACTGGATGGAGCAGCTCGCCAGTTCTCTGGAGCGTATGACTCTGGTCTCATTCCCATGGAGTTTGTCAACAGCATGCGGAAACAGCACAAACTCATCCTTGGCATTGGCCACAGAGTCAAGTCGGTAAGTGTGCCATTTCAATTGGGTACAGCGAAACATCTGAATAGGGAACATCTGAGGTGTCTTAGTTTTAGACAAACAATAAAGTTAACAGTACGTAAAGAGTGGGTATAGCGAGCTAGGTCTGATGTTCTTTTGCTGAACCTGCCAGCTCGAAAATCCCGACATGAGAGTGGTGATCATCAAGGACTTTGTTCAGTCAAACTTCCCAGCCACACCCCTACTCAGCTATGCCTTGGAGGTCGAGAAGATCACCACTTCCAAGGTAGGCTCCTACATAATAATGGCAGCTGTGCAAATCCATGTGTGGCTTGTTCAAGAACTTGTTTAGATCTGGGGTTAAAGAGAATGGTGAGAGCTAAATTTAGAAAGATCAAGTGCAAAATGCGATTACGTTTCCGTTTTCTAAATTAAGCCCTCATATTTTACTGCCACGTTCCCTTTAAGGCGTCGTGTCTTTTCTTGTTGATTGCAGAAACCCAACCTCATTCTGAATGTTGACGGAGTGATTGCTGTCTCGTTTGTGGATCTATTGAGACACAGTGGAGCATTTTCTGAGTGAGCCACACTTTTATACAGCTATGATAGACTTCATCTGTTTTTTCTTGTTCTAGCGAGGAAGCTGAGGAGTATATAGAGATTGGAGCATTGAATGGACTGTTTGTACTAGGACGAAGTATGGGGTTCATTGGTGAGTCATCTCTTTTATCAGGTCGTGGATGATGTCATAATTCTGTGACGCAGGTCACTATTTGGACCAGAAGAGACTAAAGCAAGGTCTGTACCGCCATCCTTGGGACGACATCTCTTATCTCTCTCCTGACGTGGCCATGTGATCCAGTTTCACATGCACACAGACGATAGTAAAAGACAATACAAACCCTATGCACGAGTGTATTATTTATGCTTCTGTGGATTATGTTCTGCAGTAATTACACTGACTGCTCTTGCAGGAGATTTTAAATTATAATATAGCCCATGCCTGAAATTGCCCAACCACAAGTGCATGCGCATGCGCTCTTCTCTAATAATTTCAATTTGTCGCCTTTTTAAAAAATCAACCCAGTGTAGCACTGAACCCGATCATATCGCTATTTACCTGATTTTGTGCGCGCGGTGGCAGAAAACGTGGTAACAGACAGAATGACAGACTGACAGACTGACACACTTACGAAACAACTACTGTAACCCTCGCTGCGCATGCGCGCCGAGGGTTAATGAAAAGCACTGAAGTGCAAACCCTCGGCGCCTTGTGACGCGCACGCGTAAGTAAACGCATGCGCGGTATCACTAATTGATGGGCTGGGTTTATTCGTGGTCTCTTACCAGCTCGCGCAGAGTCTGACACGGGCTAACTACACTACTAGATAGCATGCGAGAGGCGATACACGCCCTGCGTTGCATCTTCTGGTGCCTCCGGGGTACGCAGAGCACGGGGATCGATCAGACCGTGGTAAGCCGTCCTGTCCGTTGTGAATTTGCATATTGGCTTTTTCGCGTTCTAGCTTTGCAACGGAGCATTTTCAGAGAAAACCCCACAAATGTTCTGACCTTCGTCGCCCGTTGGGTAGATGGTATCGTTTCTGGGACGAACAGACGTTCGAGGAGTGAGATATAGACTAACAGACAAACAGACAAACAGACAGACAAACCCAACTACTGTACCCTCGCTGCGCATGCGCGACGAGGGTAAAAATGTTGCTAGAGTGACAACTGCAGCAAACAAGTGCACACAGCACTCTACGTGTAGTAAATAGGTATTTATGCATTGTATTCAAAGTTATGCTGGACTTGTCTGTCTTGTTGGGAGGTTATATCAATTATAATATAAAAGTATATTATGCATACATACATCAAACCCTAGTCACAGATGTCTTGGGTTAACACTGTAAATTTGACACTGTATGATTTTAAGTACATTGTTTTTTATCCTGATTCATCTTGTGATTCTTGTTCGTGGTACTTGTGGTATACTTCTTCCACTAAATCTTGAGATCTTGTAATTTCATCTCTCTCTCTTGCCTTGTACCATCGTATGACCAAGCCCAGTAGAGCAAATGACACCACTGCCAGTACTAGTGTGGTCAGGTAGAACCAGATACCACATGTACTGGTGCCCAGTATGGGAAACCAAGTGTTCCTCCATGTAAAATACAACAGTGTTCCAATAACTATAAACAAATTAAGGGCTGTAAAGAAAAGTCCTATGAGAAAACCCTTCATATTGTACGGTGCCTGTGCACATACAAACTCTATGCCAGATTTAGGCAGCACCACAGATGTAAATCCCAAAAAGAGGTCAAAAGGAATGCCAATTATTATTTCCATTTCACTCGGATTATTGCTGTTGTTAGTGAACATACATTGAGTTGAACCATTTGAAAGAATTTCCGGAATCGTCTTTGCCACTATACCGTACAATGATGAGACAATGAGTGCTGCAGCTCCAATTCCAGCAGACTGGAGGATGCTGGGACCTCGGTTTCTCAGACATGGGTAGATGAGTAGCTCATACAGTGGAATGAAAAGAATTGCAACAGAAGCGGGTTTTGTAATACTCCATGCAACTTCCTGTATACAGTTTGTTTTCGACTGTAATGAGAGAAACCTTTCATCAATGGCGAATGATGATTCACTCTGTGGTATAAGTGAAACTGAACACATAGGTATAACCAGAATGACAACCAGGACTCTCCAGAAGGTCTTAACATCCTCCACTTGCTCTGTGGTGAAAGGTCCACCATATTTCGACTTGCCATAGTCCAGTCTTGTTGGCCGTTCATTTTCACAGTATGTGAAGGCACTTCTCTGAACTGGATACTTGTGCTTTGCTGCATATTTCAAGACTTTGAAAATAAGACTCACTGGATTGACAGTCACTGGCTCTTTCACCAGTTTGTGGTGGAAATGAAAGTCCAAAATGAGTCCCACAGAGAGCAGTAGGACTGGCAGCAGTGACATCACCATACTGACTTCACTTCGTTGGATGTGTGTGCAACTGTAGAGAGCAGATCCTAGAATGCTAGAAATAGCAAAACCACTGTAAAACCCCCAGATTAGCCAATGTATGAAAGCAGAAATGTTTGCATCTGATCCACCAGTAACCTGGTCTATTCCAAGTGGAACTGCACTCGCTAGAAATGCCCCCTGAATTGAAAACTGTAGCACTGCAATAAGGACCTGGATAACGTGGATTGTAGTTTTTCTCACAGGCAGGCTCTCTTCACATAGCGATAGAACCAGTGCAAGAATATACATACACCACATCGTCTTTAGACAGTAGCTGACAAGTTTGTATCGACCAATGGCAACCTCTCCTATAATACTTACTATTGGAAATATAAAGCAAAGAGTAACACAAATACCAACAACATATCTAGCTTGCCAAAACCACAGATAGGTATCATTGGGCTTGCCATAATCAACGTTCATTTTTTCAAATGTGAAGCCCAGAGAACAGATTGTGATAAATTGCCAGGTAAGGATGAGTAAGATGCCACTCGAACCAATACTGCGAAATTGCCATTTTCTCCTTCGTCTGCCTGTATAAACGGTGCTCTTGGGGCTGGTTCTGCCAGTGTATCGCTGATAACGGAATATGGATCCCTTAGAACTCTGATATTTTCAGCTCCAGCAATGGTGGCCATTCGCAGCAGTGTGGTTTTCTATCCCAAGGGTGACTTCACTTCTGTTAGCTGTTTATAACTGGTCTCCATGAGATTGTGTAATTTGCACTTTCAAGAACCCCAACAAAAACTCTTTTGGTATCTCCACGCAGTATGCCCCCCTCCCCCGCTAAAAAAACATTCCATTGCAGCAGACCAAATGCAAACCTTTGTCCTAGGGAAATTTCTTGGCGAGTGAAGTGAGCCTACCTAGCCCGTCAATGGGCCAATTTTCCATTTATTTCTATCCTGCGATGCCACACATACCGTTCTACATGATTATCAGCGACAACCACCAAGCGTGAAATAGTGAACTGCTTGCGCTCGCTCGCTGCATTCCTCTACTATGTATAATACCAATTAGCACAGTTTGTGTGGTGAAGTAACCTGTATGTGTCTTTGAATTAGTGCGCTTGATGGCAACCAGATGCATGACTGTTTGAAACTCAGGATGGCTGGTTCTTTTCTGCCATATCCTCTTGTGTTTTACTTCACTTGGTATGCATATGTCCTGACTGCAAAATCTACCTACCAACATGCATAATTATGCCGGCCCCTAATGTTTAAACTGGAACACAGAATAGATTTTATGCCAAATACTCTGCCCCACACAGTGTAGCGTATGTGTCCCGATCTGGTGGCATGTCCAACGAACTCAGCAACATCATCTCTCGCTGCACCAATGGAGTCTATGAGGGTGTGGCCATTGGAGGAGACAGGTGAGACCCTGCCCGATTACTTATTTCATTGCCCTACGTATGAACCCTAATTCACAAAGATTGCCACCTAATGCACCGAGCCAGCAAGTCCATGATACACCGAGCTGTCCTGTGATGCACTAAACCAAGCAGTGCATGAAGCTGAGCAGGCCAGGCAGCCACATAAACAAAGCCTAGGAATTGCAAAACTGAAAATAACAACGTTTGCTGGATTGCTGCATCACCCCCATAAAATGGTTTCAGAATGGTTGTATATACTTTCAACAAAGCAGATTGTTTTGGGCAACATGTGGGTGTAGGAATTTTTTGGATGCACATACATAGGATCCAGACAGATGTATGATGCGCCAATCCAAAATTCCCGTGATAGGCTAAACAAGGCAGTTCACGATGCACCACTCCGGACCAAACAGCCCATGATGGGCCATTCCAAGCAACCCAAGCAGAGTGAACCTACAAGTTTCCAAGCCTTAGAAGCCCATGATGCGTGCAGTACAGTTCTTACACTTGCTGTCATTGCAGGGGAGCTGTTTCTGGTAATGGTGTGGTAGAGCTTTCCTCTTGCGGGTGCTGCTGGTTGAAATGTCAATAACCAAGTGGCATGGCTGATCTTTTTTCTTCTAACCCAGGTATCCTGGCACTACCTTCACGGACCATATTCTTCGCTATCACGATGACCCCAACGTGAAAATGATAGTAATCTTGGGAGAGGTACGTAATGCTGTTACGACCTTACCATAGATTTGTACCAATGTTCTCAACATTGCACAAGTATGTGCACGTCCATAAAGTGGCCCCTTTACTTTATGGAGAATATAAATGACTTGATAGCTCTCGTGTGTTTTACAAAGGTTGGTGGGATAGAGGAGTACAAGATTTGCAATGCACTCAAGTCTGGTCGACTGTTCAAACCCATCGTTGCCTGGTGCATTGGTACATGCGCCAAACTGTTCACCTCAGAGGTTCAGTTTGGCCACGCCGGAGCCTGTGCTAATGCTGAGAGGGAGACCGCCGATGCCAAGAACCAGGTACTGTATAGGCCAATCACTGTGTGCAATAATGCTCTCAGTTATAGTATGGTTAGAAAGGGATGGTCATGGTTCCTAGCATCATAGATGTATATGTACTTTTCTCTTGTCAGACACTGACTGAAGCTGGTGCATATGTCCCTGAGAGTTTTGATACACTCGGCCTGGTCATCAGGTAACTTCCGCTGCTACTTCTAGTTGATGCTAAGTAAGGCTGAGCATTACCTTCAGTTCAAGGGCTGAGCATTCATGTTAAGGCTCAATGCTTCCTGTACCCCCTAGTTTGTGTTTGTTGTTTGTATAAATTAATGTACGAACCCCTCATTCCTCTTTGCATATATCTACTAGCGTAACTGCATTGTAGTTTCAGTGCTAGCTACACAGATATTTGAGTGGATTATTTCTTTCGTAGTGTTATCCATATGTAAGAGAATGTCTTGTCTATGTATCTCCGACCCAGTGAGGTGTACGAGCAGCTGGTGAGTGCAGGGGTGATAGTCCCTCAGCCAGAGAAGGAGCCTCCCACGGTGCCCATGGACTACAAGTGGGCACAGGAGCTGGGACTCATCCGCAAACCCTCCTCCTTCATGACCAGCATCTGCGACGAGAGGGGAGAGGAGCTGCTGTACGCTGGGATGCCCATCTCTGACGTCTTCAAGGTACCACTAGCAATTAGTGTAATGAGATGACACAGGGTATAGGAATGGCTGTGAGAATTTAGTTTTAACTTTGCTCGTGAGAGACTTATAGACATACTCAAAATGAATTCCCTGCACTATGTTGATTAGAGACTTTTGGTATGCTGTAATTACTCTTCCAGTGAGGGTCTGTATACTGCAGCTAGAGCATTTGATGTTTTCTCCTGTTTTTCCAACAGGAAAACATTGGGATTGGAGGTGTTCTCAGTCTGTTATGGTTCCAGAGAAGGTCAAAATTGCTACTACATTCTACACACATGATGTTCATGCGTAGATAGGCAGCTCAATAAAACTTTTCGGAGGGGGGCTTACGTTTATTAGTATAGCTAAGTTTCAAGCTAATAGTATAGCTAAGCTTCATACGAAGCATGTGGGGAAGGAGCTTGCAGGGTTTGCTGCCTATGGAACATACAGTCTGACTGATTTGTATGCATGCAGACTGCCAGACTATGCGTGCAAGTTCCTGGAGATGTGTCTGATGGTGACGGCAGACCACGGACCTGCAGTCTCTGGGGCCCATAACACCATTGTCACTGCCAGGGCTGGGAAAGACCTCGTCTCCTGCCTTACCTCCGGACTCCTCACCATTGTAAGATATGATGCGTACCACTAATCTTGGACCTGTAATTATATGTATGTATGCAGGTGATGAGTGTAAAGCTTTTTGCCTTCTTCGGTTCAACCTTATGCCCTTAACAAATTTCTTTTTCCAATCTGTTATGGATGTAGTTTTGGTGTATTAATTGCCATTGCATGAAATAAGTGAGGAGCTTTCTGAGAATTGTAAGGTAGATGGTGTTTTTGCTAGGGTATGTTTTGTACCTAAGCAAGCTGTTGCTATAATTATAGTCAATATGTATGTGAGCGTGAATGAGGTGTCGTATATATGTGTAGGGGGACAGGTTTGGAGGTGCACTGGATGGAGCAGCTCGCCAGTTCTCTGGAGCGTATGACTCTGGTCTCATTCCCATGGAGTTTGTCAACAGCATGCGGAAACAGCACAAACTCATCCTTGGCATTGGCCACAGAGTCAAGTCGGTAAGTCTGCTATTTCAATTGGGTACAGCGAAACATCTGAATAGGGAACATCTGAGGCGTCTTAGTTTTAGATAAACAATAAAGTTAACAGTATGTAAAGAGTGGGTATAGCGAGCTAGGTCTGATGTTCTTTTGCTGAACCTGCCAGCTCGAAAATCCCGACATGAGAGTGGTGATCATCAAGGACTTTGTTCAGTCAAACTTCTCAGCCACGCCCCTACTCAGCTATGCCTTGGAGGTCGAGAAGATCACCACTTCCAAGGTAGGCTCCTACATAGTAATGGCAGCTGTGCAAATCCATGTGTGGCTTGTTCAAGAACTTGTTTAGATCTGGAATGTGGCAGTACGTAAGAGCTAAATTTAGAAAGATCAAGTGCAAAATGCGATTACGTTTCCGTTTTCTAAATTAAGCCCTTATATTTTACTGCCACGTTCCCTTTAAGGCGCCGTGTCTTTTCTTGTTGATTGCAGAAACCCAACCTCATTCTGAATGTTGACGGAGTGATTGCTGTCTCGTTTGTGGATCTATTGAGACACAGTGGAGCATTTTCTGAGTGAGCCACACTTTTATACAGCTATGATAGACTTCATCTGTTTTTTCTTGTTCTAGCGAGGAAGCTGAGGAGTATATAGAGATTGGAGCATTGAATGGACTGTTTGTACTAGGACGAAGTATGGGGTTCATTGGTGAGTCATCTCTTTTATCAGGTCGTGGAGGATGATGTCATAATTCTGTGACGCAGGTCACTATTTGGACCAGAAGAGACTAAAGCAAGGTCTGTACCGCCATCCTTGGGACGACATCTCTTATCTCTCTCCTGACGTGGCCATGTGATCCAGTTTCACATGCACACAGACGATAGTAAAATACAATACAAACCCTATGCACGAGTGTATTATTGTATAATAGTGTCTTATTTATGCTTCTGTGGATTATGTTCTGCAGTAATTACACTGACTGCTCTTGCAGGAGATTTTTAATTATAATATAGCCCATGCCTGAAAATGCCCAACCACAAGTGCATGCGCATGCGCTCTTCTCTAATAATTTCAATTTGTCGCCCAACGCCGCTGCTACAGTATAATGATGCAACAAATGAAGGGGGTTGGTTCGCTACAGCAACGTCAAAGTCAACAAAAGGTTCAATGAACGACAGTAGAACAGTATGATGTCATCATGATTGTGAAGAGCTGGAGGCAGTGGTGGAGTCGGGAGACTGCCGAGCAGTGAGGATGAGGTCCACCAGTTGGCTGGCAGCTGCAGGGATGTTGGTCCCGGGGCCGTAGATGGCAGTCACTCCACAGTCGGTGAGGAACTGGTGATCCTGGGGAGGAATTACTCCACCACACACCACCAGGATGTCCTCTCTTCCCAGCCCCTTCAGTTCCTCCACCACCTGAGACCACAGCAGTTCACAATTTTACAAACACAGTTATACGTGCAAATTGAATAGAGGAAGCAATTTCTCTTTGTTTGTATGTTGATGGCGCTGTTAATGCTCTACGGAGTTCTATATAAGTCAACTGCTGAAAATTTGCACTCACGTACATGATTGCAAATTTGTATATATAATATTATAATTATGAGTGGGCAAAATGTTTGCATGCACATCACATGATTTACTGTATGCTTCTATACATGCTATATATATATATGGCTGGTATGCTATGAAGTATAATTTCATGCTGCAAAGGTAGTGAGTGATATTCTCTGCAAACCATCTCCAGCCATGCACCCACGCATGCACATAATGGAGATATGTCTAAGGTAGCATAGCATACACGAGGGACGAGTGTCTTGTGCCCAGCTGCCAGTGAACTGATACCAACGACATGGACATCGGCATCCACTGCCTGTCGCGCTACCTCCCTCGGAGTCTGGTGGGGAATGAGACAACGTTGAGTAATAACAGTGGACGAAAAACAACACAAAAAGAACAAAGTCATAGATATGAACAGTGACCGTGTGCTGTAAGGTATTGATCTTGTATTTATGTGGCTAGAGAGATATGGTGTGCTGCGAGTTAATGCCCACCAGTCAGATAGATTATGGTTACATTGAACTTATGCAGAAACGAATATAATGAACTTATGTACAAACGCAGATAATCTTACTGTGAAGAGAGGTCCAATGTCTACATCAAACCCAAGGTCCGTGAACCCAGTGGCGATGACCTTGTAGCCTCGATCATGTCCGTCCTCCCCGACCTTAGCCACCAGTATTCTCGGCCTTCTTCCCTCTGTCTCTTCAAACGCCTGCATCACATTGTACGGTCTACAGTTGAGCCCATACTTATTACCCACAACTACAGTGATACATATGGACTACAGTTGAACACCTCTCCATGGACACCCCTGGAGTGAGGATATCAGGACACCTTTCCCCAAGAGCAGTTTTTGGAAAGAAAAGCGTCCCTTTAATTTGAGAGGTATCCTTATTTCAGGGGTGCATTCACTAACTTGGACTTTCTGAAGAGCTTTCTCCATTTCCTCTGCCTGACCATACTCCTGGGCATAGGCTCCGCTTATCATCCTCGGGACTGCTGTGTGTCGCCCATGAACCTAATAATAGGGGGAAACGAGGGGGGAGGAAAGGGAATGAGTGTATTTTGGCTTTTTATTATGCATCAATCTTCAAGCCCCAGCCAGGGACCCTTGGTTTGGTTCTAGGAGCTATATATGTACATACATACGTAAGATGACCTGTGAATACTGGCATACTAGTCAGTATGCATATCAATCTGAGGCAACCCGGTGAAGAAAGCTTTCCGTGTCAGCGCTTACACGTTTACATTACTCTTATAATACCTTCTCAAGGGCGTCTGATATTTCACCAACTGTACATCGAGCTCTTGCTGCCTGCATACAGAGACACAATGCCTATAACAGGTGTACACACACACACACACACACACACACACACAATACTATTAATCATACCTTGACTGAGAGGTCCAGCAAGTTGCCTCCTTTGCCAGCTGCACACTCTGTGAGAGCATTGAGGGCTGCTTCGACCCCAGTCTGATCTCTGGTCCTCTTCAGCTCACCCAGCTTGGATTTCTATACCACATACAATAGCAACCACACCTATAAAACGCCTTACATCATGACAAAACTCTTACGTCATGAGGAAAAGTACTTGTACATAAATAATATATAGCACACTCTATAATACACATTTGCAAAGGGAAAAAGTACACACATAGATAGAGCAATAACTAAGCAAGTGTTCAGTTTGTACATAAAAGTTGGACCTGAATTTCCAAAACTTTCGAGTTGTCGATTGACAGAACTTCCACCGGCGCTTCTTTAGCTAGTTTGTACTTGTTCACTCCAACTATCACATCTGCAGAGAGACGGACACATGTAAACTAACAGTTTATTAGCAATAAGCTCTCCATACACTCTGAATTGCTGCACATGTCCCTATATACCACACATAATAGCAGTAGGCTCTTTCTTCTATCCATCTTAGCAAGCACCGCCTCATGGATTAAAGATTATCTTTTTTCTGCTGCACACAGCACGGTGTATGTACCTGCCCCGGAGTCAATCCGGGCCTGTTTCCTAGCTGCTGCCTCTTCGATCCTCATCTTCGGCATTCCCGATGCCACCGCCTTTGCCATTCCTCCCATTTCCTCTATCTGCACGGAATTAGTTGGAAGGAGTGTATTTGTGTTTGCTCGCCAATCCTACCTAGTCGTCTGAATGCGGGATTTATCACTCCATGTAACAGTCACTGATATACTCATGTGATATACTTGTGCACAAGAGAGGCGTTATAATATTATTATGACCTACCTCGTTGATGAGGGAGAGTGCTGCATCGTACACATCGTTAGTGAGACATTCCATCATATTGGACCCTGCCCAGGGATCTGCCACCTAGTCATCATATTCAAGCCAATAACAACGGCAAATCTCGTAAGTATCATGTGCAAATTTTAAAATGCACCAAATTAGCAACTCTGCTACAAACTGAACTAGAACTACAGCCAATTGAAACACTAAACACCTGAATGCAAGGTCAAACCTTGTAATGTGAGATTGAAGCACAAGCCTACGAGTATAAACACATTTCACACAGTCACAGGAGCCTAGCAGCAAGAACAGCCATCAGCATGCAAGGCCAACCTTTGTAATGTGTTTCGTAATGTGAGATTGAAAAAAACCCATTAAAAACACAACCCTAAATATAAATTAGATGCCTCGTCCAGGAAACTACGCGCATTAGAGAGCCGTGGGAGCTCTGGACTGTCGGCGTTCGAGCGCAGCGAGGACGCTACTAAGGGCACCCAAGGCGTTCTAATGTGCGTAGTTTCCATGGACGAGGCGTCTAACTTGTTTAGAGCTATGGCAACGCGTGACAGCAACGTAGTGAGACCAGCCAATGAAGCTCTACACATCTGCATGCAAGGCCAACCTTTGTGATGTGGGACTCCTCCTGTAGGATAATCTGAGTGTTTCTGGCAATACGGGCACTGAACTGAGTGGGCAGGGCCAGGGCCTCGTCAAACGAGTTGGTGTGAAGACTCTGGGTCCCTCCAAATATGGCCGCCATTGCCTCCACACACGTCCGCACTATGTTGTTGTATGGATCCTGGAAATGAGGGAAACGTGTAGCAAGTAAAACATTTTGTAACCCTGAAGGCAGTATTTAAAGAGAGAGAAACTATTATGCGGACAATTCTACCACTGTTTTTGCACAGATCCAGAATGAATGGTGATGAGCGGATTGCCCTTGACAGTCTCTCAATTTTACGGATGTTACAGACTTATGTTCAGTCAGAAGCATAATGTATGTACTGGACCTGTTCGGTGAGGGACCATCCGGAGGTCTGAGAATGGCAACGAAGAGTCATTGATTTGGGACTCTTGGCTCCAAACTTGTCCTTCATCAGATGAGCCCACAACCTGCGAGCTGCTCTCATCTTGGCTATCTCCTGTAATACACACAAATGAGAGTGTGAAGAGGACCATTTCATTAATGACACCCACTTTTCTAAGGATGTCTAGGTGGAGGGTAATCTTATTTCGGGCATGAAGAAAAGAGGTGTCCTGGGTGTAGTTAACCTGTTTGCTTTGCCTTTGCCTTTGCGTTGTAACATGAATATAAAAAGTGTGGGTGTGTTAGAGCAGCCCCACTAGGGGGTCCCGCCCCCTAGTAAACTCTTCAAAACTAGGGAGATGTGAGACAGGATTTAGACCGTACAATGATTGGAGGTACCACAAGTCCCTCCCTTTCCTCCCTGTATGAGTAAACCCCTGGTAATCTAGTCATAAAATGAGTTAGTCTACTACCATGTAGAAGTTCATGCCGATTCCCCAGAAGAAAGAGAGTCGAGGGGCAAATGCATCAATATCAATCCCGGCAGCAAGACCTGTGGAGTGTGCCACGCAAGGACGTAAGTAAATAAACCGGCAAGAAATGGCATGTGCGTTACGGCTACTAAGGACTGACTAACCAGTGCGGCAGTACTCCAGGCCGTCAGCGACAGTGAAAGCTAGCTCCAGCACAGTGTCAGCCCCGGCCTCCTGGATGTGGTAGCCCGAGATGGAGATGGAGTTGAAATGTGGCATATTCTGGTGGGGAAGAGAGATGGCATAACAGTCTCTGATACTCTGAGACAGTGGCACCACTGAATAGCTTACGAATTACCAAGACAGAAATACATAGAGTAGAGAAGGACTGCAAAGCATGTCAGCTTGTGCCTCCACCTTTTGAGCCTTACATGTAGTACAGCACTCACTTCTCCAATCAAAATGTAACTTAAAACTTATCTGAGTGAAGCGCAATTTTTTGGTTTTAGCATGCATGCTGGCAACAGTGTTCACACAAAAAGTATAATTGGTCAAAATTTTGTAGTTGACTGCTTGAAGATCTGCAACTATACAGCCCTTTGCCCCTCAGAATCGAAAATTGATACCTCATGTGATGGTACAAACCTGAGAGGTGTAGCTAAAGATGTCTCCGATGATGTTCATGGAGAACTCTGGAGGGTAGATGTAAGTGTTGCGGACCATGAACTCCTTCAATATGTCATTCTGGATCGTCCCAGTCAACTGGTCCGGACTAACTCCCTGCAATATTTACCACCAACAACAACATTAGCATAATGTTCTTAAATAATTAAACAATCTAAACTGTGATATCTAATGTACGCAGTTTCCTGGACTTCCCCCTAAGGGAAATATTTTGCATTTTTTTGCAGAAACGCAAGTGGAAGAAGAGACAAACCAACCATTCCCAATACTTTGACAATAGTTGGAGAATGGAATAGTATCATTCACTTTAGCTCAACTCCAGTATTGCAGCCTCACCACTTCATGCTCCCCTCAATAAGGGATTGCAGGCACATCAATGGAGTAAGAGACAAACTAACCATTCATTAGACTATAGATAGTATGGCATACTCTATCCCTCTCTCTCTCCCTATGTCTATCTCCTTGCCTTGTCCCTCCCTATTTCGTCTCTACGGCGCTGCCCCTTCTCATCAGGTATGTACATAACAATGCAAGGTAACACAACTCCTCTATACTAGAACTTAGCGAATTTGAGAGCATGCGCTGCATCAACGATTGTAACATTTTAGTTATGTGCATGCATGTATTTAGAATCACACAGGGCACTCCGGTAAGGGAGGCAACGTCGGATACACACAAAACGAATTTACCAGTTGCTGACAAGGGTGGGCTCGCTTTTTGCTCACCAATTATGAGGACCACTAAAGTGTACAGACCTGTTCTTCAGCTGCCACAATAAACATGGCCATGACTGGGAGAACTGCACCATTCATCGTCATTGATACTGACATCTTGTCCAGAGGAATATCTGAGAACAGAATCTACACACACACACACATATGAAGGGGGGACATTAAGTGGTAAGATCTACAAAGATGTAATCTATACAGTGGAAATCTCTAGTGATTGCTTATAGCCAAAAAAGAGTGTTGTGTCGGTCTCTGAAGCATAGAGTTTATTCTTTGCACACATGTTGGTATACACCACCATACGTATGTACATAGTGCTGTGTATGTTGTATATACACACCTTCATGTCTTCCACAGAGTCCACAGCTACTCCAGCCATTCCCACATCTCCCTCTGCCACCGGATTACTGGAGTCATACCTGCACAGAGAGAGTCAGTCATGTGCAATATTATATAAACCCACACTTCTGACGAATGCAAATGACTGAATATACGTATGTGCAAAACGTTCAGTAATTTTACACTTTGAAGAAATTTTTATACGCAACATTACGGTATGTGTGAGTGTCATAATAATCATAGAAAACTCGTGACAACTAGGTAGGCTAGCTTCTCTTGTCAACTAGATGGTACCTGAATAAATTGTGAGCTAATGCAGTACTGAGCTAATGGCTGCTCCGTGAATGAACGCAAACCACAGGATGTCATACAGTGTATGTAGCTGGCTGTGGATAATAAGTGATACTCACCCTCTGTGGGTGGGGAGGTCAAATGCGACACTCAGTCCCTGCTGACCAGCCCTGATGTTCTCCTTATAGAACTTGTTACTCTCCTCCACTGTACTGTAGCCTGCATACTGACACAGGAGAGAGATACATACATACAGTAGACTCTCTGTATAGAGGACAAAGGACACCTGCTTCTGCTATTATTATTACCTGTGAATAAGAGGGTATCAAAAGTGTCCTTTACTCATAGGATGTCCCTTATCCTACTACTAAAGTTGAAGTTTTCAGTAGACTTGAAAACTCACTCCCCCTGCTTTCCTCTCTACTTTCATTACTGTATATACTTCCCTTTCAATTAATTAACCGCCATTTGCAGAGGTACCCCTATTATAATATACTTGCTAATTTTAGTGCATATTGAAGTATGTTGTACGTACATTACCTGTCTGATGGTCCAAGGCCTCTGTGTGTACATTGTGGGGTAAGGACCACGTGTGTATGGATATTTGCCAGGCAGTTCTTTCTCCATGTCTTTTGTATCGTCTGTTGTGTACAGAGGCTTCACATTGATGCCCTGGAATAAATAGCAGCGAGGTCACAAGGCACAGCAAAGGCAAAGAGAACCCAACTATGCACATTACATTTTGTGTGGTGTGGTGTAGATGTAACGGGTACATGTCAAACCTCTGGTGTCCGCCACGTTAGTCTTTTCGCCGGATCTGCACCCTTGAGCTGTTTCTTGGCCATCTCGACCCACTCGGGGTCTAGAGGCAGCCCACGTTGCTCGCTGGTCGCCTTCCCCTCATCTCCATCACGACGTGCGGTGCTCGTAGAAACACAGGACCGTTGCAGGGTACACGCTGAACCCCTGCTTGGTCCGAGATGGCCACGGTGGAGGGTCTGGGCTAGCGATCTGTGGAATAGAGACTTACACAGTCGCAGAGAAGCCATTTGTGCCCCAAAAATTTTTGTTTTTGGTGGGGGCAAAAGGTCATGCAACGCGCATGCGCAAGCTGAGTGTAAACAAAAAGCATGGCTACTGGAATGGCGGGCTCCTGCAGCAAGTCGTCGTCTCAGCTCTCAGCGGAGCAGTTGAGGAGGATAGAGGAGAACAGGCGCAGGGCCAGAGAGAGACTTGACCGCAAAACACACGCAGAACAGCCGCCAAAGTCTAACAACACTGCCCACGTCCCGTCAACTGCCATACCCTTTCCACATGCTCATGTACACGGAGTCATACACGGCAGTTGTAACCATGCTACAGTGAACTCTCGTCCTCAATCGCATGACGACTGCTCTTCTGCTGCTAAAGTTACAACTGGCTCAGCAACATCCGTGAAAAAGCCTGACACTGCCATCAAGAAGGTTGTGGAATTGGTAAGACCCGCAATCAAGGCCAATTTGAGGCTCACGTCAAAACAGAGGTTTGAGATTGTCATGCCATATGACAGACAAGCCATCGAGGTATTCAAGAAAACTCCCACCAATGCCTACAGTGAGCCAACCAAGAGTCAAACAATTAACTATTGATGTATGTATTGTAGATGCTAAAGCGTCAATTTGGTCTTTTGGAATAACAGTCTATGACAAGCTAGGTAAGTTGTTAAAGATGACTACTTTTATACGTTAATTACCATAGAAAATCTGATCTTGCCTCAAAACTGGCCGTAATTGCAATGGCATGTTACATACTTGCACAAAGTGGCCGGTGATTCAAACTGCCGAACTAAATGACCAACAATTTAGCTAACTCTCTGAACCTATTATGTACACAAACAGTATCAGGACTGCAGAGGGATTGCCGGCACATAGAGCTGAGTCAGATACCGAGACCAGTGGTGTCCCTGTTCCAGTCTCCCCCTGCCCCAGTTCCCACAGAGAGTGGGGGAGGTCACTGGAGTGGAGTGGACCCCAGACTACACTCTACTCTCATGCAGTTCCAGAGAGACGGAATAGAGTAAGCTACGGTCTATAAAAGTATATACCTTTGTATTAAGGTGGATATACTGACATAAAGCCCTTGAGTGTATCTGTGCTCAGTGTCACGACAGAGTCCAGTGTGAGGCATTAAGTGTACTGCTGAATCACAAGGCAAGCTACTAGATTTGCGTAGAAAAATAGCAAAACTGTGTGGAGTAAGTGCTTTGGCCAAGATTGTGAACTCGCCATGGTGTTTAGCTACACTGGCCTGTGTTGGAGTATGCTGGTTGTCTGGGCATGCATTAACGCTAATGCATTGATAGGTGCTCTACAGTCTAGTGAAACTTGTGTTCTTTCAATGATTCTTTGGCAGTTACTGTATTAGTCGTGGAGGCAGAGCCCTGCTTGCTGATGACATGGGTTTGGGGAAGACCCTGCAAGCTCTGGCAGTAATGAGCCACTACCGTGGCAACTGGCCACTCCTCATCATCTGTCCATCCTCCGTCAAGATGACATGGGCTGAGGTATAGCATTACAGTATATAGCTGTATACTGTATGGTTTGTGAAGTGTTATACTGTGGAATATATGACGTTTGTCATCAAAGGTGGATTTATAGCTATGATGTTTGTCAAAGTGCCTTACTTGTAGCTATATATGATGTTTGTGAAATCTAGCCTCAAAATATACAGCTTGAAGCTACATCCTTGTCTTCTCTTGACTCAAGAACCTATTATCTAAACTGTGTGTATACATACCTTGCAACACTTGCCAGTTTAAAGTCAAATATGGTTGGTTCCTTAATATTTAGCTAATGCCTTGGCCTATACATCATCACTTCAATCTTTCACTCTTAATGAAATAAGGTGTCTATACTATTACTGAAGTTCCCTCAAGCTCTCAACCTTAGCACAATCCTTTGGCTAAAACTAGTCTTGCACGTGGCTGTTTTTTCCCCACCAGGCGTGTCAGAGGTGGGTGTCGTCTCTGAGGGAAGAGGAGGTGCTGGTCGTGGGGACAGGGAAGCTGCCGTCGACCAGTCCTCCAGTCACAATCACCAGCTACGATCTCGCCACTCGACTCAGCCGCGAGCTGGCTCTGAGAAAACCTGATGCCATCATTGTGGTTAGACTATTACATCATACTTGCCATAAATCATTCCTTGAGAAAATTCGCCTGAGATGGGATATTGTTTGCTTGAAAATGCTGCTCCCCCACCAAACTGTATAGGTCAGAGTAACTGATTCAAGGTTGTAAAAAACAATATTCTGGTGGGGTGGGCAGTGTATCAAGCGTTAGTTAATCAAATGTTGACGAGTCTGTAAACTTGCAAAGTAAAACAGTATTTTAAAGTATACCCTGCTGCAATTAACCATTGTTTCTGTTAGGATGAATCTCATTTTTTGAAGAATCCTAAGACCAATCGCTGCAAGGCAATCCTACCACTCATCAAGGTGTGTATTTCTCAATGACTCAATACATGTATCGAGGTAGCTATAATTGGGTGTCTGTAGAGTGCCAAGCGTTGTCTACTGCTGTCAGGGACACCAGCCCTCTCTCGACCCATTGAACTCTACACTCAGATATCAGCAATCGACAAGAGCTTCAAAATCTCCTGCACCAACTTTGGCATCCGATACTGCAGTGGGATCAAGGTATATAGGTTTTTCTTATAGAGGGGTATGTACATTTAACTTTTCAATAAAGGACACGCTATGGGACACTAGAACTATACAAATTGTCCTATAATTATGCATAGGTGTCAGATTAATAGAAACGAGTCTTATTTATTGATCAGTGTACTTTAGTCTGTCCATTATACAGGTTCCACCATATATCTGCATCTGTATACTATTCTGTAGAGTCACTTTGGTTGGGATTTGAGTGGGGCTTCAAACCTGAACGAGCTTCTTCTCTACATGCAAGAGAAGTTTATGATCAGGTGTATTATAGTGCCCTGTAATAATGATACAGACACTCTGATCATTTTTTGTTTTTTCAGACGTCTAAAGAATGATGTGCTCGATCAACTTCCTCCAAAGAGAAGGCAAACGGTAATGCTATAAATAAACCTGCTTGGTTTTAACCATAGTATCTTAACTGCTGTAATCATTTTTGTCACTTGTATTCTACATACTACACCTATCATGTCCCAGCTCAACTTGCACAGCAAATTGCAAATACATCATGCTCACCTCCCCAGTTTCTGTTAGTCAAGGCTGTTAATACTAGCCGACCCTTATCACAGGTTTCATAGTCTCACATTTGGCATCGTTCTCTTTTATCCTCTATGTACTGTAAAGTGTAGTTTAAAAAAGGTACTAATGCAGGTGGTGCTGGATCCCTCCCTGACAAAGACGCAGTCTAGAGAGGTCCGAGAGCTGAGGCAGGAGCTGGAGAAGGCAGGGATGGTCAAGGGAATGCAGCAGCGTGCAGCTCTCCTGCCTCTCTTTGAGAAGACCGGCAGACTCAAGCTACCTGCTGTCAGGTATAGGGCACAAGATTTCGTTGAGTGTAATGTGGACTGTGAACCAGGCATTTGGCTTTTTGACTCTATGGGCCTGTAAACTCAATAAAGGAACTTTGGCTGACGTGGCTCTCTCAGGTAATAATGGTAAAACTCATGAATTGCCTATTACTTTATAGGCCCATATGTAAAGCCAAATGCCTGGTCTTCACTCACTCATACACCTGTGTACCATATAGTATACCTGTGCAGGGGGTATATTCTGGACCTGCTGGAAGGAGGCAGGAAGCTGATAGTGTTTGCCCACCACAAGTCAGTCCTGGACTCCATCTCTGAATGCCTCTCAGACAAGGTTCCTTACTAGTAAATGTTCTGCTGTATACTTTGGAGAGCACTCTTAGCATGGCAGGCTCTTTGACTTAGTGCGCTTTCAATCGTCTTTGAGTTGTTGTTCACTTGTATATTATATGTGATCCTGTTGGTGTGTAGGGTTATGAGCACATCAGGATTGACGGCCGAACGCCACCAGAGACTCGCCAACTGCTGTGTGACAGGTTCCAGCATGACGAGTTGTGCCTCGTGGCCCTTCTCTCTATCACCACTGCCAATGCCGGTACGGAACTCAGCAAGCATAAATTTTATATTGCCCCTAGTATAATGGGCTAACCATTTCCTTTGGCTTGTGTCTAGGTCTTACGCTGACTGCAGCTTCTACTGTGGTGTTTGCTGAGCTGTTTTGGAACCCTGGGGTTAGCTTACAATATTCACAAATAATGCCTTTGTATAGCATTTTTCGATCAGGTAAACATTTTTCATCGAGTAAACATTTTCAAAAAAAGAAGTGAAAACTACACTACTCTGTGCTTCCAAACTTACTACATGTCAAAAGTGCATGTGATGGACTTGAGTGAAAACAATACTATGCACTTCCAACTAATGGACTTGCTGGTCAATGGTTGTTGTGTTGTTGTGTAGATTCTGGTGCAGGCAGAGGACAGAGCATACAGAATAGGACAGAAGAACAGCGTTGTCATCCACTACCTGGTCGCCAGAGAAACGGTGGACGACTTCATCTGGTAACAAACTAATAATTGCAGGGGTTTCAGGAATAATTAATCTATTGTGGCACAGGCCATTGATCCAGAGCAAGCTGACAGTGCTCAACAAGGCCGGCCTGGCAGGAGAGGATTTCTCTGCCACTGACAGCACCATACTGAAGGTTAACTGCTCCACGTGATGTTTGCGCATGCATATTTTCCAGACCAGTTGTAGGATACAAATATATATACATAGATATTATGTATATATACTATAATAATATCAGACCGTTCAGATTGCTTATGCAAATAGTGGTGGTTTTAACGGGAAAAACAGTAGAGTCTCAGTATTGTGGAGCTACCATATGGCTGTGGTATTGGTAATATTTGTGCTTCCACTTCAAGTGCTGCTGGTAAGGGTGAGTGATGGTTTCCATCAGTTTCCTGATCATTTGTTTCCTTGGGCGCTGGTTGTGCTCGTGTGGCATTATCTTTCAGGTACTGAATGATGAAACGGTTTACAATTTTACTCATTCGTACTTCTTCCGATTCATATGTCCAATCTTCATCTGAATCATTAACAAATGGGTTATTGTCGGTTGCTCTTCTCAGCACAGTGTTGATAGAAAACCATCCACCAAAGTAGTGTCCACCAATGTTGTACGCAATCAATGCCCCAAGTCAAGAGGCTGCAAATATATTTTCTATGGAGATTGAGTGTCTTGTATTCTCACAGGGTACTGGGTTTCAGCAGACTCTACTGGATTTCCTTGACAAGGAGCAGCAACAACAGAGTAAGGGAGGAGAGGTGGGGGTTGCTGGAAGTGAGGCCAGAACATCGGGAGATACGAGAAAGAAAAACAAGAGAAAGCGATTGATAACAGAATTCTGTTGTGAAGACGATTCAGACTTTGATACACTCGAGAGGAAGCAAAAGTTGAAAATGTCTCCTAGTTGCCGTCAATTGCAAGCCACAGTCAATTCAGAGTCTGCCGGAGATTCACTGAGCTACTGCAGCACTAGACCTACCAGTGTCAAGGAGGGAATGGGACAACCTTTCAAAAAGTCAAAGTCGGCCGAACTGGCCAGCTATCTCCTCTCAAGGAAAGCCAGCAGTGATGCATCATCACTGACAACAGAGCAACCATCTACAGCAACTCTTGTGTGTCATACTCCACCTCGTAGCTCTACTGGAGGTGATGGGGTGGCATCCAGTGCTACTAGTAGTACAGTGGAGTATGACTTTAGAGAGGAAAACAGTCACAGTGGTAGTGAGGGTGGTAGCGGTGAGTGGATGTTCGAAGACTGTGATTTGACCTCTTTCAGTAACTTTGATGATGACGATACATGAATTAACCTCATCACTTTATGTCATAGTCACATTTTGTGCTATTAGGTCATTTTGCACAGCTTTCAGGTTAACCAATCCCACCACAGACAACAACCAACTAATCATTTTGCACGGCTTCAGGTTTCTATAAACCATAAATTATTTCCACATTCTGTTCATATACCTACAACCATCCATTAATGCATAAGTATAAGTCGTTTTATTCCCATTGTATTGGAAGGGTTTCTGTTAACCAATAATTGTGTGGATAAACTCTCCTCGGATTATTGTATATACATAAATAATCAATTTCATCACTAGAGGTGAAAGAGAGATAGTGAGCTGCCCTGGCCCTCAGGCTATATAGCTAAGAGTAGTTTGGTGTAGGCCACACCCAGTCTAATAGTTTCATCACATTCTCGTAGAGTGTGAACACTATTGCCACGTCGAAACACACTCTACCTAGTCTTGGAGTAGTTCCTTTGTAGAATCTGCAGTGAATTAATTAAGTCACACATTTTGTATGAGAGACGGAGTGTGCACTAACGCTTTGAATCCTTCGTGCTTTGCAATCTTCTTGACACAGTCCCATGTATTGGCATACTTGTGAGCATCTAGACCCTACACACCACAAGTCATAAAGAGAACGTCATATATACAAGGTATAGAAGTTCTCATACTCGATACTGCATAAAACGAAAAGCACTGCTAAAGTGCAAACCCACGGCAGACTAGAAACTCACCTGCATGAAAACGCATTTAGCATTTATAATCGGTCTGTTACCCACTAATTGATGGGCTGGGCCACGCTGTTGTTAAACGCATGGTTTCTCGCTAGCTCGCTGAGAGTCTGACAAGGTTATTCCGTCTTTAACTTGATCATCTATGCATCAATCATAAATAAGCATTATGTTTACCTGCATTCTTGTCTTGACGACATCGACTGGCGTGTTCCCAAAAACACTGGCAGCCCCTGCAATTCCTCCGGTAATGAATGTCTTCACACTCCCAATGTCCTTGGTGATGTCCCCATCCTGTATCCACTTCTTGATGGAGGTGTAGACAAAGAACCGGATGGCCTGGTTGGAACCCTGTTTTATAATGGTGGCGGTGAGTCCCTGGTACGTTCCCTTTATCCCTTTGAGGGGGTGGAGGAGAAGGGGAATGAGAGAAAAGATAAAGACGCAGAGTTGGCTCTGCATGCAACTATGGATGCAACCACAGGAACATAAGTCACAAACATGGAAATTGCATCACATGCACACACAGCCTACCTTCCTGTCTGACAATAGTCCTCACTCCGTGGAAGAAGCCCTTGTATTTGGGATTGGGCTGAGTCTGATCATGAATAAACTTGACCTTGACCGTCTCCATGGGGCAGACCACCAGTATTGCTTCACTCACTCCAGCCCCCAGACCTGCCAGCAGTGTTCGAGGCTTTGAGAGGCTCCCGTTCTCGTCTGCCAGTTTGTTCTTGAGAAACTCAAACATTGCAAACCTGCATACGCCAAATGTTAGCGTATCATTTCTCTATGTTAATGTTGGGTTGAAAATTGAGTAGGTGCAGAACCAATGGGAGCTAATAATGAATTAACCACACCAATAATAAGCGTGGTTGAAATTGAGTAACTTTTCGTACTTTTAGCAAGAACGTGGGGGGAAGGACAGACCAGCCAACCATATAACAAAACACACCTAGACTATAGCTGTAGATTGCAGAGCAAAATACCGATCGGAGTCCTGCCTCAAAAATAACAGCAGAGAACATTTTACCGACGGCCCAATGAAGCTTTTTCCCTCAATACGGGTGCAACCGTCATAATATTATTACAAGCTCACCGTACACTGGCTTTTGGTATGGAGCCATACAGAAGAGAGCTGAGTCCTCTATAGAGACCAAGGAACCCGTGCTCCTTGACTGTGGTGGAGGCACAGTGGATGGGTCCCTTGTAGCGAGGGGTGGCCGACCGCTCGTCCAGCTGCAGCTGGGTCTTGACGTACTCCGTGGGGAATGTCATCATGATCTCCAGCCCTCCTGCTAATCCACCTGCATACAGAGAGAGAGGGGGGGTGGGCAGTGAGGACAGTTTTAGAGTACCAAGGGACAAAACTGGGTAAGAACATAAATTCCACTGAAGGCTTTACCTCTCCCATGTTTCATGTACCACAATGCAGTAGTAGTTCCTTTGTCATAACGAGGCACATTTACCACTCATAATTATGTCCCATGGCCTACATGAAATGTTTAGGCGTGCTATATTATATGTATGTTGCCTTTACCACCTGATCAATACAGAAGCATTTAAAGTGTGACACTGCACGCACAGATGTCCTAATTGGCATGCCAATGAACTATACCTGTATGTATATGTTGCAGCGCCCAGACAGGACAGCATGAGCCCTGTAAGGGCGAATGCTGTCCTGTCTGGGTACTGCAACAGATTTGTTGGATATCCAATGGCAAATGACATGTATGAACCCTGCTTGCACATGTATGTAGGATTGTATAGGCTGATACAATCCCCAGGTACCTAGCTTCATACATGTCGGTTGCCTACGGATATCCAACGAGTATGGATACTATGACTGTTATATATATCACACAAAAACTGACATAAGTCGGTCTGAAACATCAACATCATGTGAGACATCCAGTAGTCGGACTAGTGCTGTGTATGTACTCATCGTACTGGGAGCGTGTTCACAAGCAGTACATGGTGGTTTCTTCAATATGTACGTGTTAACACAAGGGTCTGATACCCTGCACAAGACTCACCAGCTAAAATGGCCTTCCCTGGGTGTTTCTTCCCAGTCTTTCTCTTCTGTTCTGAGCCAGCAGTGGAAGCAGCTGCAGCAGCGACTGCTAGGTGTCTGTAGCTCAGAGGAGACTGAGGTAGGAGAGAGGCTGGGCCCCCAGCTGGGGTTGTAGCTCCGACTGTGACTCTTCCTTGATCCATTACTACTGTGTCTGTGTGTGGAGAGTGAGAGGAGACCAGGGAGAGAGAAGCGAAAAGTGGTAGGTACTGTAGTGTTTATAGTGAGGCAGAAAATGGCATGACTTTCCAAATCAGCTGATCTGACACCAGGCCATGACACACAAAAGGGACACTGCTGTATTCATTCTTAGGACAGTAGGCTTGATGAATTTAATTATACTGTTATATCAGCCATATTCAGTAGACCCAAGATATACAGCCATGCCCTGCAGCAAGCCTGAGCGGATAATTGCAAAGGTTACCAAACGTTTCAACTTACTCGATCTTTCTGGAACTACGCTCTTGTTGAAAGGCAACTCGCAGTGAAGACTGTGACCCTCAGGAAGATGATCAAACCGTTCGAGGCTTATTCCGTAGTGTGGACCTGCCTCCAAACTACTAGCCTCCAACACACACCCACCTATTACACGTCGCCTTTAGGTCAAAGGTCGTTCCCTTCCGCGGGTATCGCGCGGGAAATTTTAACCCCATAAACACCTGGGCACTAAAAAAGAAGAGCAGGCCCTTGGAAAAAGAGAGAGATGAGCAAGGCTAAAGAAGCAGCAGGTAAGTACATACATTCACGGACCTGTATCTGTTAGGCTGCAAAACATAAGCAGTAAATGTAGCTATATATATTATTATGTCCTGATCTTCTAATTTTGTCAGCTCCTGCTAAGATACTGCAGTATATGCTGGACCAAAACAGACCATACAGTGCAGGTTGCTGACTGCGTGATGTTACATTAATACGTTGGAGAGTCTATATATTCATGCACGAACATTTTACTCTATTCTAGGAGACGTATTCAACAATCTTCACAAGGAATTTGGAAAAACGGTAGGTAAAAACCAGACTCACGAAAGCTCGTGCATGCAATCTTCTAACTGTCGGGATTGATGAGAGCTACACAGTTTGTCCACGCTTCGGAAAGTTACTCATGTGCTTGTGTCAATTTTGAACCAGCCCTTACTTGACAACTCTTTATAGCGGTCAGATGTGTGTGTGTGTGTGTATATATGTGTGTTGCAATGCTGCGCAGTGTGTTCAGAGGTGTCTGGATCAGTTAGTGACTGAGGGTAAACTGGTGGAGAAAACATACGGAAAGCAGAAAACCTATGTCATTAACCAGGTACATAGTGATGAAAATCAATATGAGTATAATCCCTGACTTTGCAAGTAACTTTCTGATCCACTCTTCCAACTGTTGATATTCACGATTGTTGTGCAGTTTGTCTGTCCTTCTCCCCATGTTCTTGCAAAAAGTACGAAAAGTTACCCTATTACTGATTTTCAGTCCACTTTCCAACAAGGCATTCGTGACAGTTAGTTTTGTGTTTCCTTCCCCCATGTTTTTGAAAAAGTTGGCCATCCTAAACACAAGTATAGCTCACTATTGAGTGTTAATAATTTGCAGTCTCAATTTCCTGATGTTGATGGAAGTGAGTTGAATGCCCTCGACAAAGAGATAGCTGAGGTGCAGAAACAGCTGCAGGAGTCCCAGTCACACTGCCAGCGTCTCAACTCAGGTCTTACCTTTCCCATTCTCCGTCCTCTCTCTCTCTTTCCCATTTTTCATCTCTCCCTCTCCACTCCTTCTCCTCTTTTTCCCCACTCATCCTCTCTCACTCTCTTCCTTCCTCTCTCTTTTCTCCCCTCCTTTTCTCTGTGTAGAGTTGTCTGCTTTGAACAGCTCCCTGACCGCAGAGCAGGCCAGCAACCAGCTTAGAGAGCTGGAGAAAGAGGTAGAACTCCCACACACACACAGACACACACACAAACACACACACGATAAGCCACACAAAAACAGAGAGCTGGAGAAAAAGGTACATAGAACTCCCACACACACAAGATAAGCCACACTGACTTATTGTACTTTTTGTTTTCAGACAGGAGAAATGAACAAGCAGCTCACAAAACTGAAGTCAGGTACACGATACGGTATTTTTGGCAACACTTAGCAATAGGTAGCCTCAGAACCCAAGCTTTCCCTGTACATGTTTGAAAATGCAGGAAGACCTGTGTTTCAATATGATTCAGCTTGAACCATGTAGTTTTGTGGTTATATTGTTGTGCCGCCAACTGGATTTGCTTCATCAACGGCGTGTTGTGTGCAGGTGACCGGGTGAGCCCTGAGGAGTGTAAGAAAGTCACCAAGGCCCACACGGAGGCTGTCAGACACTGGAGGAAGAGAAAGAGAATGGTACATTGATTGGGTTTCTTCCTGGATCATGTGACCTCCAACACTTACATAATTTCATGTTTTGACAAGAACCTATATTTTGCTACGTTTATATATATATGTAGCTAAAATGACTGCCTGTGTAGTTAGAATGCTCATCTATGCTCGAGGCATACATATGACCCTGTGCACCCTTCCCTGTGGATTTGTAAACATGTAAAGCTATTGCTAAGTGCACCCTTTTTTCATGGGCTCTATTTGGAAAAAGGGTGTATTATGCTTCAAGCATACAGTATAATATAGATGTTCCATGATGTAAAGACTCAAATACCAAGGCAAATTGTTGTTCACAGACTACTGACATTGTCAATGCAATACTGGAGGGCTACCCAAAGTCCAAGAAACAGCTCTTTGTAAGTATACAATATTGTATGAGTTGTATATATATTCTGAGTTTTAATGGACAGGAGGAGGTTGGCATAGAGACGGACGAGGACTACGGTGTGTCAGTACCATCATAGACTCACTCACTATTGTATGTTCCTCACACACCGGCTATAGCCTTACCTCCATTACTCTTTCACTTCTCTGTGTCATATACAGTTTTGTGTATATATGTGTCAACAATTTAGTCGCACGGCAAAAGCCATGTTATTTTGCCTGTGTGTATGTAAAGGGGCTACAGTTTCCAGTAAAACATGTATTAGTTGAAGACGCTGTAGAGTAGGAAGATGGCAATATTCATGGTATATAGCTGTATACCAGTTGTGTGTCAAGTGTGACTGAATAACACTGTACACGTTGTGTCCAGAGAGAGCTGCATGTACACATAATACACAGACAATGGTATAATATGTATGGAGGGTGTGCTAGTAGATGATGGGCACAGGAAGTGGTTACAAGAGAGAGAGGGGTCAGGTCATATGATAGCAACTGCCAGTGATAAGGAGGCCAGCTGCTTATTTTTCCTTTTCTGCATCACTTGAGGTCCTTCTAGGTGGCTGGCTTGGAGCATTATCATACGTCGTCTGGGAGAAGGGAGGGAGGGATGTAAGAAACAGTAGACTTACATACATATAATTCCATTTTCATGCAACTTGCTCCATGGACCAATCACTCATACATTCATCAGACTTCTCTCATGCAACAAAGCTTGTTAGCTCTAAGTGCTAAGAGAAAAGCCGGCCAGTTCCCGGAGAGAGCTGTATCCCTGTAGCTAAGTAGCTGTGTAAAGTCACACACAATAATTATGTGTACGTACCTGAGCTCCCTGCAGAGGTTGTGGATGTGCGAGCTTTGCTTCTTGTTGTTCTGACATTCTCTCTTGCCTCTCTGGTGGCCAGGTCAAACCATGGCAACTCAAACTCACTGCAGTGTGGCAGAAAAAAGATCTATGTCATTTTTATCGTCAAAAAAGTGCTAGATACGTACACCTAGAGTGGAACTTCTGTATAGGGCATCGAAAATGAGTGCCCCTCATTCAGAGGTAATGAAATACACTACCATATTAGTGGAACCATTACAGAGAGGTGCTCTTTATTTGGAAATATTTTTCAGAGGTTTCCCTGTATACCTTCTCTTGAGCAGAGGTAAAGGGTGGCCAAATGCACTGACAGTGACTGTAGGCAAAATCTCTATCTCCTCAACTGCAACATAAAACAGAAAGCATCGTGGTCGACGGGTCTTTCAACCACAAAGATTAGCCTACTGTCTTCTAGTTTTGGGAATAAAGATGTGATTCTGTCTTTTCTTTCTTCTGTTGGTTCTGCCATCCCACTCTTCTTGTTGTACTTTTTCAGCAATTCATGATGCTCCAGCAGCGTTCTTGTTCTTTGCAAGTCCCACCTTTAATACCAGTGCACGCAACACACACCGTAAGACATTACGTATTTGTGTTTGATTTTCGCACCGTTTTCTCCGTTTCTCGTCTTCCTCGTGTTTCTTGTGCCTCCGTAAAAACGTGTCTTCTGATATATCCTACACAGTAAAGACACCAGTCCAACAACATCAACACGCGTGCATAGCTACATACACACTGTACACAGTGGGAAACTGAAGGTAAAATGTTCCCGGTTTTCCTACAGTCAAATAGTTTTCCTCCTTAAAACATTTGGTTTTTTTAGCTGATCAGCAACATTTTCTCCCTCAAAATGATTCCACTCCACACTATTATATACCTCTGGTTCTGTCGCAGCTGGTTCCTCGTTCGGATCTACCAGTGGTGTCAACGGATGCAATTCCCACGAGGGAACTGCAAATAAAGTTTCTCACTAAATTTGACCTACAACAAAGCACTGCTACACTCACTCACCTACTATTGGGTTATCGCTCGATAGACGACTGTTAGACAATGCATCAGACGCTGCACAAAGTTTGTCATTCAGTAACGTGTCAGTGTTCTTTGCCTGTAAGTCCCTATGATTAGCAGTTAGGCGATGGGGCTAGCCCGTCTTGCACCGGTAGCAAACCTAGTCCTGCGTACTCCACGCTAGTCCTCATTTCCATCAACTTTGGCGGTTTTCGTACTCTTTTCACAGGAATAGGCTCTGGTGTGGTGGTTCTGCTGTCCTCAATTCTGAGACGTTTCCGTGCGCTCTTTCTCTCGTCCTGCGAGACTGGTGTAGCGCTGGCAGTACTGGACAGCTGCTGGTGCCTCAGACGATTTCTAGTTCGCTCCAGCGAAGCGCTCCGACTCCTTACGTGTCTCTCTGACATAATGAGGGACTCTGTACGAGAGTGTCGCCGGGTGACGCTCTGCGGGCTTGATGCAGAGGTTGGTGTTGATTCAGAGTCGTGAAATGAGGGAGCGGTGATCGTATTTCTCTTTTGATGGACGGCCAGCCGTCTCTCCATTCGTTCTAACCGAGCCTCCAGCTAGTGCCACAAACAACACATGTACAGACAGGCAGAAGAAACAGATTTTCACACACAACTTGGTTTACTGTTTATAATACTTGTATAATACAACCCACAGTCCTCTTCCCTTATAATTCATTGTTCTTTATGTTCATTTGTGCAGTTGCAAAATAGGAACCCCATAATTCAACAATTCCAATTGAAGCGCACCATAATATTTCAAAATTACTATGCCCCGTCGCATAACTAGAGTACAGAGACAAGGGACCAAAAAAACGCAAACGTCGCTGACCTGGTCTCTGTCCCTCCGAATTGACGCTAGTTCCCTGTCTTTGGTGTAGATTTGCTCTTGCTGCTCGCGGATGAGCGAGGCCTGGAGGCCCACAACTGCTCGTAGGTGCCTCGACGTCGCGTTCTCGTCACTGCAGAGCAACGCGCTTCGACGCAGTCTCCCGAGTTCCCCACAGCAGTTGAGGAGCTCCTCGCACTGCTCGGCCCTGGAGCTCTCCGTCGTAGCCTCAACCCCACTGCCACTGTTATGAGTGATAGCTCCATCGCTTCTCCGTTCTAGTAGAGCAGTAGCCTGTAGAACAGCGAGCCTGTCGGGGGCCTTTGCATAGTCATGTTCCCTAGACACCAGCAGGGACTTTTCAAGCTCCAGAACGAAGGGAACGAGCTCGCTGCGCGTCAGAAAGGTGGAGAGGGGCGACGGATACGGCGTAATGCCCGTAGCGACGGGAGCTTCTTCGCTTTGGCCGGGAGGTAAAAGCTGTCCGTCGCCATTTGTGGCGGGCCCTGACGCTTGTTCCAGGGTATCGGGGCCCGGCATGGACATAGTCTGTGGCCCACATACGATCCGCTCTCTCATTCACAGAGATTTCCGAGGAGGAGACTCAAGCGAGACCGCCCTGTGTCCCCCTGTGTGCTGTTCCCGCTGCCACACGCGCCGATGTGTGCTATGAATATCGTTATTTGTGCCGTCACGTGACTTATCCGTGATATAAAAGCGCGCGCCCCGTCCCACACCCTCTGTCGTCATGGAAGAAGATCCTGGGAGAGGGCATTATGCAAAGAAACTTACTGAAAAAGAGATAAAGAAACTTGAGCATGAGCAGCAGTTGAGTGACTACCAAAGAACCAAATTTGAGAGGGAGGCAAAGAAAAGCTGGGACCTCTTTTACAAGCGCAACACCACCCACTTTTTCAAGGACAGACACTGGATAACTAGGGAGTTTCCTGAGCTGCTTCAGGCCATATCTGAGGTGGACGACAGCCACCCTGTGTTACTGGAGGTGGGGTGTGGTGTGGGCAACGCCCTCTTTCCACTCCTGGAAGAAAATGATGCACTCTTTGTCCACGCCTGTGATTTCTCACCTCGTGCCATTGAATTTGTAAAGGTGACTCTTACTGCTTTTTGATTCCTAATATATGTATTGAGAGTTGAAATACAAAGTAACCCAAGACACAAAAGGTGTCCCCACGCTCTCCCCAGTCATTGAAACACAATAGTAAAGCCACACTTAACAAAAGTAGCAATAAGGTGCACTTGCAAATCTCAATTTCTTTAGCTGTGGTGTATATTACATACTTTATTTGTACAATATGCAGTCTCATCCAGGTTATACTGAGGCGAGATGCAGTGCGTTTGTGTGTGACATAACAGAGGAGCCACTGTCCAGCAGACTCAGAGAAAACTCGGTGGACATTGCTCTCATGATATTCGTCCTCTCTGCCATCTCTCCCAATAACATGATCCCCGCCTTGAAGAATATTTTTCAGGTGAGCACGAAAATTTGTAGTCAACTTTTTAGTGTCCAAAGACTTGTAAATTGAACACAAGTATACCTATACCACTGCCTTCACCATGGGCATAAAAATGTAGGGGCAATCCAAAAATTTAGCGTTGATCAAAATGGGCGGTAAAGAACAATTTTTGAGTTTTACCACAGCCATCATCAGGAGCATTAAACTGTAGGATAAATTTATAAAACAAATTGGCCTTCAATGGAACATAATTATTGAGTTACCAACTTGAATTCATGCTGCCGGTGAGCACAATTCTGTCTCGAGACTAAGTTGAGTGTGTCAAGTGTTCTTTGTGTCATATCAGACTATATATACTATGTAGGTGCTGAAGCCAGGAGGATCCGTGCTGTTTCGTGACTATGGACTGTACGACCACGCCATGCTGAGGTTTGGCCGAGGACACAAGATCTCAGAGAACTTCTACGTGAGACAGGACGGGACTAGAGCCTACTACTTCTCAGAAGGTGAGTAGTTTAGCTCTCTTATATACAGGTTTTCAAGTGTGGCAATATCATAGAGGACCTCTGAGAAATCACCCCTGAAAGGACACCTCTCCACAATTGCTCTGACAATGTTGGTACCTAAAACCACTGCACATGTTTGTCAGTGGGGTGGGAGGCACGGGCAAGTCTTTCCTCATCAAGACTGTCCGTGCACCATAGAATAAAGGACACTTTCGATGCACCCAATGTGTCCCTTATTTGGAGGTTTCACTGTGCACTTTGCTTCTCTGAAAGTTTATGACAAGACCCAATGTTTGGTTTTGTTGCATCATACAGAGAAGCTGGCTGAAGTTTGTAAGAGTGCGGGGTTCCAAGTTGCAGAAAACAGATACATACAGAGAGAGACAGTCAACCATAAAGACTCGATTAGTGTGGAGAGGATCTTCGTCCAAGGCAGATTTGTAAAACCCAACAGTGAATGTACACCAAAACCATTGTCCGATTGTACCAGCCCACCCACAATCATAACACGTTGTCTCTCATTGTACCGTACAACTCATAATCAAACCATTATTCACACAAGAATTGTTGCTCTTACAAAAATGAAGCAGTATTATAGAGCAAAGATGGTATTCTACTGTCCTCTGTCAATAAAGCTAGAGAGATGTGAGTCATCGTCTTCAGTATGCCTTCCCCGCGATGAAGACTGCCGGCCACCGTAACTCTTATCCTCTTCGTACCTTCCCCCTTCACCTCCCCCCTGAAAGCTATACCCTCCTCCTCCTCCTCCTCCCCGATGGCTTGCATCTCTCCTATACCCAGAGTCTTGGGAGTAGCTGCCATCTTGCGAACCGCTGAAATCATCACTTGTTCTCTCTCTTCGCTCGTCCTCCCGGGACCTCATCCGGAGGTGGGCTTTCGACGGAGGGATGAGACGGTCGGGGAGGGAATCGGGGATGTCGTTCCCGGCAATCTTGTGGTCGATGAGAAACATTGCGACGGCGAATTCGTCCCTGTCCAGCATGCCGTCCTGGTCGATGTCCGACAGGTTCCACACTCTCCGGAGGACCGAGTTGGGTAGCTTGGAGCGCATCATCTCTGCTCTAGCCAGTTGACCTGCAAAATGTGGGAAATCACACAGTAACAAGTGCGTACATGACACGTGTACATGAGGTTATAGTGGATATTACGTGTATATAAATCACAACATAGACTGTTGTACACAATCAGAGATCGTTTTAGCAACGCTTGGCGCGTGTGTATGTATAGACACATGAATGCTCCATTCATTTTTGACTAGAGAACATGAATGGACAAAGCTCTAGCACTACAGAAGCATTGGAATACTTAATGTATGCGGCGGAACCTCCAGTAACAGTTAGCCTAGCTGGAGAATAGGCAAACTCTGCGCTGCCATTGATACCTGTATACATTCTACCACCGAGATCTTTCACCTTCAAAAAAATCACTTGCATAATAATAATAACGAAGAGGTGGAAGCTCGGCCCTAGAAAATATATATGTAATTCAATGCAGTCATATAATCAAGAGAGTTACTGGGCACTTTGGGAAGTTTCAGCGAGCCATATAAAGGCATTCTAGTCTGTGCATACATACAGTACATGTAACGAGGTATATACGTGTAGCAAGGCAAAGGCAAAACATACATACATGTACAGTAGATCTATACACACACCTGCGATTTTCCCCTCCGGGTTAGGGCTGAGTTTGGCAAAGATGGAGTCATAGTGGGCCTGGTCCGGTGCCACTATCCACCCTTCGTCGTACGCAGAAAACGTCGACTCCTTTGACAGATCCCTTCGCTCGGAAAATGGGTCGGTGTCCGTGAACCCAAACGCCCCTCCCTTTATCCGGTGGTCCTTGCTCACGGATTCCTCTTTCGGGAGCATCTTCATGATCCGGGAGATGTCCACGGCAAGCATCTTATCCACTATGTCGATCAGGCTCTGGTTCAGCTTCGGGAAACGGGTGAAATCGTAGTCGGGCAGCATCTCCTGCATGTGCTTCACGGAGGGGAAATCCCCCACGGGTACCTGGCGCACCTTGTGAATCGAGTTGAAAACGTTGGCGAGGTTTACGATTAGCTCTTCCTTCTTGGAGCTCTTCCCGAAGAGGGACGGCATCTCCGCCCGCAGCGTGGAGATGACGTAAGCGTGAACTTTGGCGAGACGTGCTCTCTTGATCATCTCGTTGAGTCGACGGACTGCGTTTGTGCGAGGGAGTGACTGCATGTCGGCAAAGAGATCTTCTTGCTCTGCCTCGAAGAGCTTCCGATTGCTGTCGTTCTGAAAGGGTTTGTCCCAGAAGGAGCTGATGTATACCCGAGTGACCTCCGGCGTACCCAGCACCTTTCCGAGGGACCACATTAGAGCACCGTACACCCGCATGAGCTGCTGAATGGTGGTCGTGTCTGCTTTGTTGAGGACGATTCTAATCTTTTGCTGGTTCTTCTTCATGACGTCGATGACGCGACGGAACTCGTCCGAAATGTCGAGTTTGTTTGCGTCGAAGAGGAGGATGATCATGTCCGCTCGGTCGGCGAACCAGGAGATGACACCCTCGAAGTCGTAGCCTCGGTGCAGTCGCTGTTTCTCACCCGAGAGTATGCCCGGAGTGTCGATGAGTGTCAAGCTCTCCAAGACTGGGTTAGGGAGGTAGGAAGCCTCCAGCCTGCTGAGAAAAGCATTCCCAAAGTGCTGGAGGGCCTTGAATTGCAGCTTGGGGTCGACGGCTAGGGCGTTGCCCGGCGTTGTCTGCTCGTGCGGGCCGTGCATTATCGCCATGAAGCGGTCGGTGGTCGGCTCGGGACCGATTCGCATGCCCGGAAAGTCTTTTTCCAGGAGATAGCGGATGAATGTGGTTTTTCCCGTGGAGTACTGCCCTATGAGAAGGACCATGGGCTTGGCCTCGAAGTCTCCGTCCGTCATGTACGGCGAATGGAACTCGCCGTATTTGTAGGTCTCTTCCAGCGGGCGAAGCTTCTTTTTGTAAATCTTCTTGAGCCCGTCTATGACGTTCTGATAGACCTCCACTTGTCGGGTCTTCTCGTTCCCCCGCAGCCACGAGAACATGGCGGCCTTTCCAACTTACAGGCACTGCAGTATAGAAGAAAGTCTTGGCCCGCGGCCGAGAACGAACTGCGGCAGGTGGGCGTGATCCGAGCGAGTGCAAAAGCGAGCTAGCTGTGTCTTCTTCGCGAGGACCGACTATGACAAAACGTAGCGTGCGGGAAAAAACCGTAGAGCTTTTGGAACTGAAATGACAACTTGTGCTTCTCACATGACCCTTTGCAGAAGTGAACTTCGAACTTTTCGCCGTCGTGGTGCGCTCGCTTAAAAATGGAATAAGTCGTGCTGCGCTCTAAAAGGAATAACACATACAGAGCGCGGGCGCGGGGGCTGGTGAACAACGGAGAGAGCTAGCGATTGTCAAGCATGCCGCGAGAGATTATCACCATCCAGTTGGGCCAGTGCGGCAACCAGAGTGAGCCTTTTACCCTTAGCTCGGTAGCTAAGCCTAATTCCTTCCGCCCACGTGTGCAGTTGGTATGGAGTTTTGGAAGCAGCTCTGTACGGAGCACGGAATCAGCCCAGGTTTGCTGTAGAGAACCACTTCTTTAGCTGAGATCTATCTTCACCACACACAGAGGGAGTGTTGGAGAATCTTGAAGGTCCAGCGCTGGACAGAAAAGATGTTTTCTTCTATCAGGTATGCATGTATGCACTCTGCTTGTATATCCATTATCACAAACCCTTTGGTGTAGGAACTACTGTTGTCGCTAGCTCGTAATTGTATATACCTGTAATATACCCAGTGAACTACAACAATTACAGTACAAACCCAGTACAACACACACACAGCCAATTTTTTCCCCACTGTCTGGTTGGGAGATGATTGATACATAGATGTAGCTAAAAACCCAACACAGACACACACAGACTATGTTTTTCAACTCTCTGATGTGTATAATGGTGGATAATAGATGGCTGGAAACTGAAAATTAACAAAAAAGAGCTGTCCTGGGTGCAATTGACTTGTTGCCTTTGCCTTTCTACCTCATTGTCACATGCATTACTATAACTATGCCCACTCTTCTGACGTGTATATAGGTGGATAATAGATAGCTGGGAAATCGACATAAAACATGTGTACCGTTTTGTTTTAACTGCTCTCTATGTAGGCAGATGATGAGCACTACATTCCCCGGGCAGTTCTGCTGGACCTGGAGCCTCGTGTCATTCACAGCATACTCTCCTCCGGGTACGGGAAACTGTACAATCACGAGAACATCTACCTCTCGGAGGACGGAGGAGGCGCTGGCAACAACTGGGCCAGTGGCTACTGCCAGGTCTGCTCCCCCATTACAATACAGTTAGTATCATATGATCGTTGTTAAAGTGAACTCCGGGAGGGGAGGAGGACTTTCTCAATGAATTTTATGTCAAAAGGAGTTAATATGCCCCAACATTTTCATGAAAAGCTGTCTTTAAGTGTTGTCGCAAAAGGTTTATTTATACACGTATGCTTGGATAAATGCCCGGGCAATTATTCGAGCATTGTTCAATGTTGCTTAATGGGAATGTGGCAATATAATTGGAAACTGTTAATTGCTTGCATGGGCCATGTTCAACATTTCTTTAGCAGTTATGTACTCCCACATTCCCTTAAGCATGGTCTAATTGTACGGTGACCCTCTCGTTTAAACATTGGCCCTGAGTAATGCACACTCAGTAAAACTAGCAATATTCAATGGAATCACCGTGGACTGCTGCCTGTAGGCGGAGAAGGTGAAGGTGAGAGAGGAGATATTTGATATCCTCGACAGAGAGGCCGACAACAGCGACAGTCTGGAGGGGTTTGTTCTCTGTCACTCCATTGCTGGTGGGACTGGCTCGGGGATGGGCTCCTTCCTTCTGGAGAGACTCAATGATAGGTCTGTAACGTCTACAGTATGACACTCAGTGGTAGGTGCAGTTGATGTGCACTTGCACTTACCTGCATCTCTTTCCTCCCCCTTATTACAGTACCACTTAAAATGTATTGCACTGCACTTTCCATCTACATACATATATAATATCTCCCAAAAATTTCGTTGTCACCCCCAGATAAGGGTGTCAATGATTTTGCATTTTTTGTAAGCACAAGAGTAGAAAAAGAGACAAACCAACTATCCTTAATACTTTGACTACAGTTGAAGTATGGAATGGTAGCATCTTACATCTTACTGCACCTTATTTCGCTGCCCCCCCTAGATAAGGGTGTCAATGATTTCGCATTTGTTGTAGGCACATGAATGGAAAAAGAGACAAACCAACTATCCTTAATACTTTGACTACAGTTGAAGTATGGAATGGTAGCATCGTACATCTCGCTGCACCTATCCCTATCTTGCACAAATTTCGCTGCCCCCCCTAGATAAGGGTGTCAATGATTTCGCATTTGTTGTAGGCACATGAATGGAAAAAAAGACAAACCAACTATCCTTAATGCTTTGACTACAGTTGAAGTATGGAATGGTAGCATCTTACATCTCGCTGCACCTATCCCTATCTTGCACAAATTTCGCTGCCCCCCCTAGATAAGGGTGTCAATGATTTCGCATTTGTTGTAGGCACATGAATGGAAAAAGAGACAAACCAACTATCCTTAATACTTTGACTACAGTTGAAGTATGGAATGGTAGCATCTTACATCTCGCTGCACCTATCCCTATTTCGCACAAATTTCGCTGCCCCCCCCTAGATACGGGTGTCAATGATTTCGCATTTGTCGTAGGCACATGAATGGAAAAAGAGACAAACCAACTATCCTTAATGCTTTGACTACAGTTGAAGTATGGAATGGTAGCATCTTACATCTCACTGCACCTATCCCTATTTCGCACAAATTTCGCTGATAAGGGTGTCAATGATTTCGCATTTGTTGTAGGCACATGAATGGAAAAAGAGACAAACCAACTATCCTTAATACTTTGACTAGTGTTGAAGTATGGAATGGTAGCATCTTACATCTCGCTGCACCTATCCCTATTTCGCACAAATTTCGCTGCCCCCCCCTAGATACGGGTGTCAATGATTTCGCATTTGTCGTAGGCACATGAATGGAAAAAGAGACAAACCAACTATCCTTAATACTTTGACTACAGTTGAAGTATGGAATGGTAGCATCTTACATCTCGCTGCACCTATCCCTATCTCACACATATTTCGCTGCCCCCCTAGATAAGGGGTCAATGATTTCGCATTTGTTGTAGGCACATAAATGGACAAAGAGACAAACCAACTATCCTTAATACTTTGACTAGAGTTGGAGTATGGAATGGTAGCATCTTCTATCTCGCTGCACCTATTCCTACCTCGCCCAAAATTCCGCTGTGCCCCCCTGTCAACCATTTTGCATTTTTTGTAGGCATATGAGTGGAAAAAGAGACAAACCAACTACCCTTAATACTTTGACTACAGTTGGAATATGGATGGAATATCTTTTCGCTGCACCTATTCCTATGTATGGTTTTTGTATTCAGGATGGTTGGTTGGTCTCTCCTTTCCTCCATTTGCTTGCTGTAAGTACGAGAGTGTTTGACCTAATCTGCCATTTTCCACAACCACTTTATTATTTGCACGTCACAATTAGGTAGCCAGCAATTATTCACTGAGCGTGCAGAGAAACCATGTGCTGTTGGCTTTTACTGGTGCTGTGTGTATTGTTTCTGCTGTGTAGGTATCCCAAGAAGCTGATACAGACTTATTCCGTGTTTCCTAACCTGGTAAGACTATATACTCAGCCTTTCCACCTCCTGAATAAGCCATCATGCAGTAAAGCAGCTATGCAGTAAAGTTGGCAATACACGCTTTATCTCCTCCCCACCCTCCCTTTCTACGTCCCTTCTCCTCCCACCCTCCCTCTCTACTTCTGCTCCCTCCCTCCCTCCCTCCCTCCCCCCTATCAGACGGATGAGATGAGTGATGTTGTTGTTCAACCATACAACTCTGTCCTCACTCTCAAGAGACTCACTCAACATGCTGACTCTGTGGTATATATTTAGCTAACGATAGGGCAATATCTAATGTTGACTCCCATATGTTAATTATGAAGATTGTCGAAGGGAGTATGGCAGTTCTCGGCTTACACTAGGCCTGTATTAAATTTTATTTAACTGCCACGCCCCCTTTAACTATCCATTCCTCCTCTTTGGATAGATTAGGCAGCATTATAATCACGTTTGGGTCTGTAGCGTACGTAGATTTCACACGCACGTGGTACCTAATCATGTTTGGGTCTGTAAGATTTCACACATACTCGCTATGCCTCAGTTGTTTTAAAATACATTGTAACACTTACTGTTGCCTCCACCTACAGGTGGTGCTAGACAACACAGCTCTCAACAGGATAGCAGCCGAGAGACTGAAGATACAGAAACCTACCTTTTCTCAGATCAACCAACTGGTGAGTCTTCTATGGCATGTAACGCGGTATGCGTTGCACAGGATAATGGATTGTATACAGTGGGTGCCGAGAGACTGAGAGTGTAATAGTGTTTTTGAAGGTCAAGATTGTATAATATGTAGTTTTGATTATTACAGTGGAACCCCTCTCTAAGGACACTCTTGAAATGAGCATACCTCTCTAATAGGACGTCTTTCGTTCCCCGCGTGAACACTTGTAACATCGCCTGGGTGGACATCTCGCGACATTGCCTTTGACGCTTTCTGGCCTGTCCTATGGTGTCCATGGTTGGTTCCCTCCACTCGTTGTAGTTGCGATATGATATGGACACCTGGATTTGTCTGCATTGGTTGTCCATTCAATCCATATGGCAGCTCTTTTAGCACCAGAAGCAGTGACCCGTTAGTTCCTGTTCAGGTCTTTCTGTTCATTTGATACATCCGACTCTCATTGGATACTGATAGCGTCTCTCATGAGTCCATACCTCGTCCTCCTACTGTCCCTAATACACTGACAGTGCGACACTGACTCACGCACTGACACTACGTGAGAGCTTCTCTGGATTGTGTTTCTAGAATGTCCATATATAGTTACCCAAATCGTCGGTAGTGTAAGCTTTGTTGATACCGTTCCCTTTTTATTTGTTCTTCACTTGCATGTATGTGTTGGGCAATGACAGTTGTGGTATACACATACTGTTTCTTCTCAAAAGAGTTCACACATCTAAATTCGCCCCGGCATAGGATATAGCATGTTTGCCTCTCCCCATACTCTACAAAATAAATTACCTGCTCCTCCCGCCACGAATTACTCTGACATTAATGAGACAAAACGTGACACAGAAGTTGTGCGGGATCATTTTTTTACTGTTATTATGCGTTCACACGTATTGATGCAGTGGCCTTGCCCGTCAACATGTTCGGTTCATAATAAAGTTACCCTCCCTTTCTTTTTTTTGCACTTGCGAAATTTAGACACCAGGATGGTGTGCTATGTTTGATTTCGGGGGACCGGTAATAGCCACCTGTGATATTTTTTACATTGACTGTTGCTTGCATCTACTCTGCGCCAGGACAACTTGTGGAGGTTTGTTCCGGTACCAAATTTACCCACGATTGCAGACACTTTTTTGTCGGCAAAATACACTATTAGACCTTACCGCCATCTTGCTTTTCCATGCACATGCCTATATCGGCCACCCGTCCAAAGCGGACTCCCTTGGATGTGTGCGTAAGACGAAAGTTTCTGATCTTTGTGGACTGAGTGAGGATGTTTCGACAGTTCCCTAAGAACGTGATGGTGTCCCCCACACTTTACGACAGATTTTTCTTTCCGCAGCACTTTACACCATTGCTCTTTACATATTGCCATTGTCCACTTCATCATTTCAGGAACCACTTCTCATTCTGTATGTATGGTTTGTTATTAGCGGCTTTGTAAATGAAGTTTTGAACGTACAGTGCTTATTATATAGACCGGCGCACCCATGAATGAAGATTCCTTTCTAATAACAAGTGTTTTTGTCCCCTCATATAATGCCAGCTTTTTTTTTGCCTTTGCAATTAACCCCCTCGAATAATGATATTTTACCTCTATGACTTACTTAGGTCCAACTGGTTGCAGTCAGTTTATTCATTAGAGGGGGTTTCCTAATCGTATGTCCAAAGCTCGAAAGTTTTCTCATAAAATCGTGCATGACATTGTGATCGTTTCTTTAGTACCGTGTGATGAGTGAACTTCATTCAAGCATTTGTGTTTCGACATAAATGCATTTTCCATTGAGAATCAGCAGAATCGTGAAACGGCCCATGCTCATTTCTCGGGGGACGTTGCCCATGCACTTCTAGGTCATCAGTCACACGATCTATTTAAACACTG